GTCGATCGATAACAGCCCCACAACTTTATCGCTTTGCTTCCGATCTTCTTTTATCTCTTCTCTCATAGCGAAAACAATAACACTAACACAACTGCTTGATTTTTGAAGAAATAATATACCATATTCATTGCAGAACATCTTGCAAGCCTCCAGACTGAGTGCAGGCTCCTTGCTCGCAGGATCGTAGAGGGACTTTACACACTTGCTGTTCTCACATTCCCACTTCCATGGAGACTTTTCATCTTCAGTGTTCACACTTAAAAAAAATATATCGAGTAAATGGGTTAAATGTACACCGCGGTGCTCCCGCTGCTCGTTTGCCCCCTTCTCTTATAAAAAAAAAAACAATAGTCCAACGGCAACTATTGAAGCGCGTCTAGATCAAGTATAGTGTAATTGCTGGCAAATTAATGAAGTATGTTTTGTAAAGTACAAATACATATATACAAATCACTTCCTTACATAGTTCTAACTCTATAAATAAGCCATAAAATCATGCTTTGTTGTGTCTCGTTTCTATTATCTTAATGTTGTCGGTATTTTTGAAAATAAACTCATGCTAAGAATTGTAAATGAGTAACAAATTTGATAAAGTAATAAATCATTGAATGCGGTACCATCAAACGCATCAGAATCTGTTCTGATGCGTTTGATGGTACCGCTTGATCTGTCAAAGTCAAGTGTCATCGCAAACTGCTGACTTAAATCAATAACCAATTGATACCGCCGTGTATTCAACAATAGTAGGAATTGAACCTTACTATCGCATCTTTCTCTCTCAGACTCTATGAGAAAAACAGAGATAGAATATTGAATTGCAACTTTATTTAAGTAGGTGTGGATTAATCTCGAAAAAATTGTAAAGAATGTATTAATGTCATCAGGAATTTGCAAGAAAATGATACAAACTGCAATGAATAAACATTAAAAAAATGTATATACATAATAGAATGTTTACTTGAATATTTGTACTTATTGAAATGTATATAACGATATTTAATTTCACGATTGCGTGAGCGAAGCGTAATTTCGCTTTGTTTTCTACGACTCATAGAAATGCCAACATATACTGGCTAGTTCGTTGGAATGTGTTCTTTTGTACAAAATATGTCGACCATTGTTTATTTATTTTGTCAAAGTAATTAACGTTTTTTCTTGAAAAAGATAAAAGAACATGGCAATGCTAATAGGTAAACTTTATACCAAACATAAAGTAGAAAATACTTGGATGTAATATAGCGTAGTAAATCACGATAAAAACACTTACCATCCTACTACTATTAATATACAGAAGATGTTGATAAGTTGCCGTCTACGAACCTCCATGGCTGTAACACTCTGAAACGAAAATGCAACCATCATTACAAACGCAATTGTTTAGTAGTTACAACAAAATCACATCAGGACAGCTAAAAAGACAGTCTAAAAAATTGACTATACGGCCTCAAAAGATAAGAAGAGTTTGAAATTAAGGTAGAGGGATCAGTCGGGTAGGTCAGAATCAGGAGAATGGACTGCTCGAAAGCGACGTAATAATGGAAGAATAAACAATAGAAGTTATAGTTCGATGAAAATTGATAAAGCTTAAATGTTTTACTGGCCCTGTCATAAAAAGAGAATAAAGGCATTAAGAGATGTTAACCTATATTAGCATTTACGTATAATAAGTTATATTGCCTCATTATTAAAAACATTTGGTCATCTACATTATGTTAATTTAGCGGTTACTAATGCTAACGACCCTTTGCGCTTTAATTTCTGTATCGTATTAATGAAATCTTGTTACTATTCCGTAAGAATAGTACGGAACGAGATACAAGAAACAATTATCGATAAATTCAGAGCCTTGATGGACCTACAAAGGCCGATCAAAGCCAACGCGACTTTCCTCTCTATGTGTCAATGTCATATGGGTAAAGGAAAAAAACATTTAATCCCACTCTGAGACAACTGATATCATAGTTTTTTTTATTTTTTTAAATTAAGTTCTAATAGTTATAATATAGTTCACAATGGACGAATGGCGGGATTCGAACCTACGACCGCTAGGTAATCCGTATCCATTAAACTATCTGCGTTTCATTGTTTTATGTCCTACTCGTATATTTGTTATACAGATTTAGTAGTTGGCAGTCGTCGCGTTTTCTCTAAACGCGGTCTGTTTTCCCTAGGAACAATAGCTACCAACCGGGCATAGAAAACTTGCTGAGTACAAACAGAAAAGTTTCATGTCTCAGATATGTACTGCATACATTTTTCCTTTTTTTTCCATATCTTTCTACACAGCGGTTATTACTCTAAATAACTACAGTATGCTTGAAAAACTTACATTTATTTGTTACGAGTCGCTACTCCTTTTCAATATAATGTTTTATGTTTTCAGCATTTACCTAATGGTAACTTGTTAACTATGCAGTAAGAGTAAACAATCATATTTTTGGTCAAAGTTTACCTGTTAGTTATATTTTGTGGCTTTGTTAAACGTGTTTGGGGATATTGGTGTATCAGAAAAATTGTCATTTACCGAAAGTTTAACGAAAAAATGTGCGTTATCTTTCGCATAACGACAAGGATAGTTTGCTACTACTTTATAAAAAACGTAACGAATTAGTTAAAAACTTATTAATAGGAGCGTCTCAGCGAGTGAATTACAATCTATGTCATTTACTTTTCAGAGCAAAATTATATATCGACATCTAATCTATATCGTTTTCGTTCACTTCTAACCTTTTTAAAACCTTATATATTTATTTTTATTCGGCCAAAGAGGTTACATAATATAGGTGTAGGTCGTAAAAACGGACGAGCCCAGGTTAAATTTATACGTCTTGTTCCAAGGCACCTTTAATATTAGAGTAGCGGTGTCTTCCTAAGAAAGAAGTAAAAAACGCCTACAATCTAACTCCTTAATAATGGATGATTTTCTTGATCTTATTATCTGTCTCGAAACTAATCTCTAAATGTCGACACGAATAATTTGTCGCAAATTTTCGTGCTAGACCCCGAGATATTATATCTTGCGAAAATGATAGGATAAAGTGTTGTTAAAGTATTCATGTCCTGACAAATCAATAACATTGATAAGCGATGTCTTTGGATTTTACGCCAGTAATTAGACCACTTTCTTCTATATATTTCATACATACTTTAAGAATACTGTTAAAAATATTTGAAATAAAGGAAAATTTCATTTTATAATCATTTGCCGACGCCTTAAAATCTAATATTGTAAATGTTTTCTGCATTACCTTGAAACATATTTATTGTTTACATACTTTGTTTTTATCGGTTATTGACAGATATGAAATGTGAAATAAATGATAACATCTGAAAAATAAACCTGATTTCAATACTTGGGGATAACGATCACTTTCCTTTAACATCGATAAAACCGGTAAAATATAAATTAATAATCCGTAAAATATAATTTTCCAATATTCGTTTTGATGTTTTCTTAAAACTAATATGAGCTTTTTTGGAATTAGAACACGTTATAAGTTTTTACTTGTTGAAACAAGATCTTATAAGATCATTAAAAAAGTTATTGTATTGACCAAATAAATTGTATAGGAAATTGAAAGTGATTTTTTTATCTGTGTCAAAATCGGTTAAACTTTAATATTGGCAAATTAAAACGAATATGTATTCATAATTGAAATACATAAAGGAAAAATATATGTAATTTCAAACGTGTTTACAATAATACGATGAAATTTACTTACATTGAAGGTTACAACGTCCACTCAACGCCGCGAAGGCAAACACTGTGACAGTTCGGACTCGGTTCGGAGGTTTAGCCGCGCGAAAGTCGAAATGATCTCCCGCCAATCGAAACTCGTTTGACAGTAACCGTCCGCTACGAATTAACATTTAAATACTGCAAAATTATTATTTTGTCAATAGCCTATAGCAATAAATTAAAACATTAACATAATTGACAATCCCGTTCGGGGTGCCTATTAAAATGGTTTTGTTTGAATTATTAACGATTTAATTTTTTTTTCGACGCAATCATGGCGGATCTAGAATATAAGCATATTTCAAACATCTAAAGCTTTTATAGCTCATTGAATGGTTTTGCAACTACCTGACAGAGAGATCTGACATTAATTTAAAAATACTACAAAAATAAGACGATTCAAAAAGATAATAGAGGACAAAGTCATTCTAGGGCATTTTAAGGACTCGTTTTTTATGTGGTTCCAGACGAAAAAAACAGTCTTTTATAATAAGCTAATTTTGATGATAAAATTAATAAGCAAAAATTGTAGTGTGGAGGGTCGGTGGCACAGTGGTTAAGGGCGAACCAAGGACTTGTAGATTACAAGTAAATTTTGCAACTCAATTAATAAAACATTTATCCGATATTTTACGGTGAAGGAAAACATTGTAATGCACCCTTCAAAACATCTGCGTATAAATTCAAAGATATATGGTAAGGCTTATTGGCCACTTTAGTTAGACTTGGTTTTAAACTCCCCTACTTTGCGACAGGATAGAACTCGGACACTTATTATGACCGGACGGGACGATTTAAAAAAAATGAAATTTTAGGATCGCAAGTTTATACCTAATAAGAGTGCGAAAAATAGTACTTAGTAGAGAATAATAAAAAACAAATATAATCTGATCTGGTATAGTGCGATTATTTTTAAAAGGGTTATGTAAATAAATATTTTTGGATGTTACTTAGGTTTAAATAATAACTGAGGCCTATTTTAAACTGTTTTTTTAAAAGTCGCACCACCACTTTGGTATTCTAATTTAAGCGGGACATTAAGAATAAAACAAAAAGTTTAACGTGCTGGCCAAACACCAAGATAGCAAACTATAAAATTAAAATTTAAGCAAAAGTGACACATGTCAAGCAGATAGTTGCCTTTTGCCTTGTTTTCTTGATTGGCAATTTGACAAACCTTTCAATTCAAATGCCAAAGAGAAATGATTGATTGCTTATAAACTAAATAATAAATAAGTATATTGTAAATTACGTACTTTTTGTGGAATATTGGGACTATTGGTGATTAAATATGGATCCAGCACTGTTACGCGAAAGGGAGGCGTTTAAGAAAAAGGCACTCGCAACGCCAAGGTACGCACTACATCCTTACTAATAGACCACTAGCGTTATTTTGTTCACATACGACGACAGCCACTTTCACTTTTCTCTCGCTCCCACCCGTTACAATACTTTATTGCCAATTATCATTAATCTTAAAACGGAAACCCTAATGAATTATCTAATAAAAGGTGAAATTAGATAATTTATCCTCTGATATTGTGTTTGCTTGTCAACAATTACTTTTATGTGACATTGACATTTAAATTATAAAGATATGGTCACTCACCAAATATTAAAGTCTCCTTAGTAACCATATAACTAATATTTTAGGTCTGTTTTTAAGCTAGTATTAAATTTCTTTTCTATTGATTTTTATGAAACATATTCTTTACAGTATAGAAAAGAAGAAGAGAGATGACTCCCAATTTAAAGATGAGTCTAAGAAGTCCAAATCAAAGTCATCAAGCTCTGTTAATGCACAGCCTAAGATTGATGCTACGAAGTGAGTATACATTTTATGACCCACACAAAGTATTCTGTATAAAAGTCACTGAGAAGACAGTATTTGTCTAACTTTAAACCTTCATGGTTTTTACTAATAACATCCATAAGAAACGGTTCCTAACATGATTAAGCTGAAATGTTATGAAAGATAATAAATGTTATAAATTTCACTAGATATATTATATTAATAATATAAAAATATTACCAGCTATAAAACAATGACGGGCAGCTCTTCATATCGATTTGGAGTGCTTGCCCGTATTGTGAGACATATGAGAGCTAGACATCAAGATGGTGACGACCATCCCTTGACACTAGATGAAGTGCTGGATGAAACCAATCAACTGGATGTTGGTAACAAAGTTAAACAGGTTAGCATTTTAATGCATAAAAAATATTGTTTTTGCATATGTTTTATATTTTCAATAATTCTTGGTGGCCCAAACTCCTTGGCGTGCTACATAACCCCGCTTCTCGCTGCACCCCAGCACCCCTAAGTGACTCATATAATGTTTAGAGCTGCCATGATATCTGAAAACTCTAAATAAAGGGTAATTATATTATGAGATTGATGTTTTTTTTTTCACAGTGGCTACAAACAGAAGCTCTACAGAATAATCCAAAGATAGAATGCACGCCTGATGGAAAATATATTTTCAAAGCTGTCTACAAAATAAAGGATAAAAAGTCATTGCTTAGGTACAAAATTATGATTAAAAAATATATTGCATATTTTAAAACAATTTAAATTTGTATTATTATTTTACAGGTTATTAAAACAACATGACTTAAAGGGATTAGGAGGGATTTTATTGGAAGATGTACAGGAGTCTTTGCCACATTGTGAAAGAGCTCTTAAACATTTAGCTCAAGAAATCCTGTACATCACTAGGCCCACAGATAAAAAGAAAATATTATTCTATAATGATAAAACAGCCAAATTAGATGTCAGTTCTTTTTAGTTTCAATATTTTTATTACAATAAGTGGATTTTAAATAATTAAAAATACAAATTCAATTTCTTTTAAGGTGGATGAAGAATTCGTTAAATTATGGCGTGCTACTGCTGTAGATGCGATGGATGACGCAAAAATAGAAGAATACTTAGAAAAACAGGGTATTAAGTCAATGCAAGACCATGGACCTAGAAAACCGATAGCACCGAAAAGGAAAAAGGCCTCTCAAAAGAGAAGACAGTTTAAGAAACCTAGAGACAATGAACATTTAGCAGATGTTCTTGAGACATATGAAGATAACACACTGACACAAAAAGGCGTATCAATAAAATAAATATTTTGATTAGCTCATGTTATTTTTCAATTAGAAATTATATAAGATTTTGGGAAAATATAATTAGCTTATAAATACAGAAAGAAGAAGCCATTTATAGATATTTAAATGTAAGAGACACAAATAAATAAGACAATATACGCTAACAATCATATAAAGTCTTTTTCATTTCGTCTATGTTAGCCGGTATGCGATATTTTTTCGAATGTATTCTGGCTCAAGTGGGCAAGAATCCAAAGCCGAAAAAACTACAATTAACAAAAGTGGTTTATGTCACTGTCAAATGTCAACTTCATTGAGATTGGTTTATAAATAAATTAAGTTTTGTTTGGATAAGGCATAAAATAATAGTAAATAAATAAGTATTGCTAAATATTTTTAAGAATTAACATAAGTTATGGCTAATTCTCAGTTTGTCGTTTCATCAAAGTTGCACGAAAAGAATATTTGTTCCGCTTTAAGTTGTTTGCAACAAGTACGTAAAAATATTATTATTTTATTGTAGCTTGTTATTTTTATTTGTATCATAAATATATTTGGTACTACTAAATAAGACTGTTTTTTACTAATATTATTTGGGATTAATGCTCTGGAACATATAATAAGTAAGACTGCTTTCTAACATTTTTTTTTTCAGAATGGTGAGTTTGTTGACATGACTCTAGCGGCCGATGGACACTTTGTGAAGGTCCACCAAGTTATAATAGCTATAGCAAGCCCTTACATCAAAGATCTTGTTGCCTCAGCAAATTGTCAGCATCCTGTTATATTTTTAAATGTAAGTTACAACCAGTTTATATAAAACCATATCCAATTCTGTAAATCCGCTCCATGTGACTACAATTTTATATACCATTATACTATTAGACCCTAAATATGTTTCATCAATATTTTCAGAAAGTTTCACATAGTACACTCTGTGCAATACTAGAGTATGTTTATACAGGGGAAGTTATAGTATCAATGGAGAATTTGAAAGAATTAGTTGATGCTGGTAAAGAGCTGCACATCAAAGGATTAGAAGATATGGTAAATACTAATACTAATATGATACATATCATACAATATTCTGAAAGTTCAAATTAAAAAAAAGCATAGTCAAAATTAAAAGTTATGCTGTCAAAACCATAGATAGCCAATGTGTTCTTCCAAACTATGTTCTTCCTCAATACCAAATTTCATCAAGATTCATGCAGCTGATCTGGAGAACAGTCTTACAAACATCCATCCATCCAAATGTTTGTATTTAAAATTTTTGGTCCTCATAACGTTTATATTATTTTAACCAATATACTAATAATTTTGTACTGTCTATTGTTTATAGATGTGGAGTATACTTATATAAAATATAGTTACTTTCAGACTTTAGCGCATGCAACATATATTAACTCAAAAAACGAAACAGAGGAAGATGAAGACAAGAATGGAATGAATGAAATATATCTTGAAACAAGCAGCATAGACAACTTTGTGGCAGAGGACAAAGTGTAAAGTATTTGATTTTTAATTGAAAAATATTGTATTGACCGTTATCAATAATATGGTTGCTAACCTAGAACTACTTGCTCCTCAGTAAAACCCAATTGTAAATTGAATAGCATTCTTAGCTACTAAGATATTCGAAAAATACAATACTCTGCTTTTGATTTGAACTACAGATTTCATAGAGCAGGCAAGAAAAACCTATTTGGTGTAAGAATGGAGATAATTTCATTTTAGATTCAGACACAACTATTTTGTATGCTTAGATTGTGATTTGAAATAGCGAATACAATATATTTTGCTTGATTTATGTACCTGAGTGAGAACTAGTAAATAAAATCGTACCTGGATAGGTGTGAAACTTCTATAAGTGAGAGACATTATCTGCTCCGAGTGACCGCCTCTATAGGCGAGAAACTCAAGTTAGAGAGAAACCTCTACAAGCGAGAAAAATATTGTGGTCCCTTGGACTTTCTCTTATCCAGGTTCTATTATGAATAAATAGCTTTTGTCATTGCAGTAATATGAATATGGATATTAAAGACATGAATGATGATGATGACGACGAAATATTCTTAGAGGATATGGATCAAGATGATAAAATTATCAATGAAGAAAGCCAAGACGACAATGATGACTACTTTACAAGAGATCATTCTTATCGTAAGTTAATTTTGATTTTTTATACAACACATAATATATAAGTGGCAATATTAGACCCTTATTCCACTAAACTGCGAGTAAATGTCTTATATCAATTGCAACAGCACCAATGTAAGTGACACAACGGTAGTTGTACTGTTGGACTCACTAGTAAAAAAGGGTCTTAGATTATTTTCCAACCTAATTGTGTTTACTTTACTATTGCAGATGATAAGATCGGTAAATCAGTTCTGTCTTCAATTGGCATCTCCAAAGTAAAAATCACCGATGCTAACAAAGATAAAGGTGAATATGCTATAACATTTTCTTCACAATATTATTATATAGTAAAATCAAAACATACCCAAAATAGTTACAAAGTAATCCATGGAAAAGAAACCATAATGAATTCCAAAAAGAAAGCCACTAGTAGTAATCAAACTTTTTTGTTTATCCGAACATTTTTGATTAAGATATGCTTCAAAAAAGCGAAGGCTTTACCATTGGGTTATGGACTTTGGCTTATAATAATAAATAAAATAAAATTACAGAAAGCTCCACCCTACAATACACAGTATCCAACCAGGGCTCGTTGCAGATGATTTTAAACAGATATATGTACTATTTAAAGTACACAAACCGCAACCGCTCGCGACAGTGGCGCTGCGTCGACTACCTCAAGAGTGTCCGCTGTCCAGCACACGTTGTTACCAAAGATGATGTTGTTGTACAAAGGTAAGTCAACAAGTCAGATTTAACCACTGATCTCTGTACATAGACAGGTTATAACCGTGGTATTTTGTGCCTATTAGATTTTCACCATCTTGGTGTTGGCGGTTACCGTTGGTATAGTTCAACAAGGATGTTTTGCCAGCTGGATAATTAAACTGGAACTAACAATTTTATTGAGGGATTCAGGGAGGAGGGAGCAATTTCATATCATATAACTACTGACGACTGAAGGGTAGTGGTAGCAAATCTGACACTTTTCATGGATTGTGTGGCCGCAATGTCTTAAATCCTTATAAAATTAGTGTGTCAAATCTGTGTCTTTGTGTGTTATTGCGTATAATATTGATAATTTCATAAGATTTGTTTATATTTGTATAGAATAGCGGCGCATACGCATCCATTTCACGACGAGAGAATTTTAAAGAAATTAAGAGCGGGCGCCATATTCTCTGCTCTTGTTGAGGCAGAGAAAGAGGGAGAAAATATTCTACGCACTAAAAGCATTGACGGTAATAAGAGTGAATAGTATTATACGTTATGTATTACAGTTGTTTCTTTTATTTCTTTATTCCTATAATTATGTAGGGACGAAACTGGATAAGTGAGAGCCTAAGGGACTGAAATATTTTTCTCGCTAATAGAGGTTTCTCTCTAACCAGAGTCTCTCGCTTAGGGAGGTCGTCCGTCGGGACCGAAACGACTCATACTATAGTCGACGGTCTACGCCGACTATAGTTCAAAGACAACAATGACTCGAGCTTGTAGGGAGGTAGACAGAGTTAATATTATATTATATATTCTTATTTTGAGCTGATTTGGCCTTTTCCTTACTTTTATAGTAATCATAATACGGGTATAAGTTAGTAAAGTTCAAGGAATTTAGAATGTCTCTAACATGTTATCGTTTAAAATAGTTTAGTAAATGGGATACTGACATTTGACCTTTGACTTTAAATCTGATCTAAAAAAAATATCTAATGTTTAATTGTTATGCCACTTTGTATTGATATTCCATCTTTGTTTTATAGACGAGTACAGTTAGGATCCGTTTACACATACCGGGGCCGTGATCAGAGCAGATTTTGTGTCGCGAATAAAATTGACCTTTATTCAATAGAAATAAGGTTTAATTTTATTTCATAAGTAAAAATATATGTTTCAATCTATCAAGCTCAATTTTTATTTACGATATTTGGTCTGCTCTTCGCCTCTGTCTGTGTGAACGGTCTGATATTCGAAATAAAACACAACTTTATTTCGAATATCAGACTATATAAATGTGTGGGTATAAATAAAATATATACTTATAAAATAAAATTTATTTTCCCCAGTATAACATTATATAAAAAATATATCATATAAAAATATGTATCACGTGTAACTGAGCGATTCTTGAAGGCACATTGTATTTCGAGATTTGTCAACTTATCCTAAATATCAAATGTATAAAAATCCTATATCACCATTGAAATAGGAATGTATCGGAATGCAAATGTAACGTTTATTCCAATTAAAAACCTAAAATTTGTAAACAGATTAAAAATAATATTTAAAAGATTAAAAAGAGATTACGTCAGTGATACCGTCTGTACTGAATTAAAAAAAAACTTAGTAGTCTATATGTTCTTCCAGATTATATTATACATGTTTGCCAAATTTCACCAAGATTCATTCTAACAAACATCTATCCATCCATCAAAACATTCGTATTTATAATATTAGTAAGATTTTGTAAAAACTTTAAAAGAAAACGAATTAAAATTGTATAAACTTGTAGGAAATTGTTTGCCACATTTTTTACTAAATTTACCATAAAAGATGTTCGTTATGTTTACAAATTTTATGCTTTAGATTGAAACTATGTATAAATACGTTGAAACAAATTAATATATGAGTATTCATTACATAGATCTTTCTAATTATCACTTAACACGTTCTCTGCTAACGCGGTCAGTGCTGGCCCTCAGTGACGTTTGCCTTTAGGCCTATTAAAATTTTAAATCTATATAAAATTACTAAATCGTTTGCCCATATGAACGAAATGAAAACTCTCGTAAAATGCGGTCATCACTGACTGACGCGGCTTGAACAGAAAGTCTATGTATCAACTGCGAATTCCTCGGCATAGAACGTGTTAAACAGTTTTCTCTTATGACAAAGAGATTATAACATTATTTGATGTACATTTAGACAAAGTTTAAAATATAACTTGCCTCTAAATGTCTATATATTAATATATAAATTAGACAAAAATAATATGCTTACAATTTGATACATAAACATATTTTAAACATTTATACCAGTAGCAGTAAGTTATATAACTAAAAAACGACATATCCATAGACTAAAACGAATTCAGTTATTATGCTAGATTATAAAAAAAAACAAAATAAATGCACTTTTAAGTACTATGTAGTAGCCCAAAATTAGTTTAGTTTATTCCTTAAGAATGTTGGCAATGTAAAAGCCGCTTTGTGGATATCGCTGTTATAATATTTAAGCTTCATTGCCCTCTCCTCTTCTTTCGTGAATGTAATCTGTGGACTGTCAAATTTGACATTTGGATCTAAAGATCCCATGACGAAACCTATCAATCCTGAAGGGTAAGTGGGCACAGAGGTATATGCGTATGCACCAACTGGGAACTTATTCCTGCAGTATTTCAATGTATTCGTCACCAAATCAATATCATTCCAAAATGTTCCGGCTTGCGAGCAAACAATACCATTCGGTTTTAGTGCACTCTTCATGAGAGCAAAGTAGTTCTCTTGGAAGAGACTCACCGCTGGACCCACGGGGTCACTACTGTCCGTTAAGATGACGTCAAATTCGTTGCTGTGATTCTTCATAAACTCAAAACCATCTCCAATGTGTAGAGTCAACTTTTCACTGTTGAATCCTACTGACATATAGGGCAAGTACTTTTTGGACACTTCAACAACTCTTGCATCTATTTCTACCTAAAAAGTAAATTAGATTTAAATTATAATATTTTATTTCCAATATTGGAGTTCATATAATTTATTCTTTGTAAATATTTAACAACAGGAAAGAAATTGCCGCACCATCCATATGGACTTTTATAAAAACATTTTTTTTAAGCATAAGATGGCAAATAAGCAACTGGTTGCATGAGTTTGCTAAAAAAAAGTGAAGCAGCTGTTGCCCATAGACTGGCCTGTTCATGCAGCATAGCAGGCCCAATATTAAATACACATATTTATTGTTTGGTACACTAAAATAGTTATGTACATAAATTTATTTTATCAGTGGGAATGGCTACAAAGTCATTACATATCTCATATTTACTCAACATGACTATTTAGAAATAGATAACACTGTTATCTTTATGTTTTATGAATAAACAATATGGATGAAGTTTTCGATGATTATATTGTACAGAAATTTTATCAAACAATTTAGGATATTTTATTACCAGGATTAAAGTTTTGACCTTTTTTGCTTATGGCTTAATTATTGAGTACAAATAAATATTTTAACATTATTATGTATTTACTTGCTGTTGTATGTGACTCTGTTCAGAGTTAAGAAAACATGATTAGTAGCCTATGTGTTCTTCTTGGGTATGTCCTACATCTATGCCAAGTATCAAGATCCCTTTAGCCATTCTAGAAATACATCCATCAATCAAACCAAAAACATACATTCAAAATGTTAAAATGGCATTTTCACATTTTAAATATTTCCAAAATTACCTGAACAATTTCTTTAACTTTAGGATGCTTAGAAACTTCTCTTGCTACACCACCATCTCCTCCTCCAACAATTAAGACCTTTTCAGGATTCTTGTGACTACACAGTGCTAGAAACGATAACATTTCCTGAAACAAAAACAGATATCTATTAACTTTAGACAAACATTATTCTTTAACTAATGAAACTTTGTGCCTTTTTCTTATAAAAAAGTATTCTTGTTTAACTAAAAGAAATATACTGTAAAATCTATTCAAATATTCATCTCATTTAAGAAAATATTTACTCAGCTAGAAATCCGAAATGATGTAATTCATAGTACAACTTAAAACAGTAGTAGAGTTGCTATACTCAGTTCCTGATACCAAAGAAAATTAATTTTATAAAGTTTATTTAAAGTCACTATATACAAGGGTAGATAGGTCCCTGCAGTCTGTGGTGGAATGTCCTAGGCTGAGGAAGATACTTTAAGAAAATTTATTATTTACCTGATAGGAAAATTCGTCCTTCTCCGTGCACTGTATAATTCCATCCAAGATAAGCACACGGCCGAAACTTGTTGTATCACATACAATTATATCTTGGTATGGTGATTTCTCTTGATGAAGAATTTCTTTAACTTCAAATGAGAAGGTACCGCCAGGCCACATGTCACATGATTCTGTATACCAGTTCTTCTTTAAGATATCCATTTTAAACTGTACAAATAACAAACAAATAAATTGTAATGTATATCATTCGACAGACCATCTCACGAAAGATTAGATTTTGAGAAAAAGCATGCGGTTTGTAACGAAAACTTGATGATTTCAAAATAAATGAGACCTAAATACACTCACAACTTGACTTTAATAGTCAAGAAATATTAATAATAAAAACATCAACGAACCAAATATTATTTTAACTGACTCTTACACAAAACTTTGTTCCTGTACACGTGCGTATAACCTTGCACTAACAACAATTATCATAAAAATGTAATATATGAGGCGCTCTATTTAATAAGACAATAATGCTATAAATAATTACTTGTTATCACTACTCCTGACCACTTTACTTGTTATCTTCGTTATTGGTTAGTGGTTATTGGTTGGTTATCTATTGTTATCTAATGTCAGTTGTCTAAAAATTTCCAAAGAGTACACATCACACAGAAAAAAAATAACTTCCAAAACCATTTTTGTATGCCACTCTTTGAACATATATTTAATCTGTAATCAAATTGTCATCATGACATTTTAGACAAATGACAAATCATTTTGTTGACTACAAAAATAAAAACAAATATTGATCCGATTATAATCCATATTTTGTAGGTTGTACAAAGGCTTTGCCTTCTCCTGTTGCTGTCGTAAAATTTCATTCATTTCGTAAATTGCTAAGACTTATCACTATCACTACCATTAAAGGAACGAAAAAATTGTTTCAATGGACGAATTTGGTATTCCCGTTGAAGAATTTATAAACGCAATAAAAGAATTTAAAAATGTGTCGGATCAAATTAACGACGGATGGCGGATTTACGAAAATCAAAATGAAATACATAAATCTTATCTCAAAAAGGAATCCTTCGTTAACTTTGATTTACAAGGGGAAGTAACTCTTTGTAAAGTGGAATATAATATTTTCTATAACGTTAGCTATGCAGTTCCTTCGTTTAGTTTTAACGTTTGGAGGTCGAACGGGACTCTACTAACAATCGAAGAGATCAGACAACTGTCGTTCATACAGTAAGTTTTTTTTTTTAACGAAAAAAGCATGTCACTTGTGCAGTCTGCACAGCAAACGTGTATATTAAAAAATTATTGTAAGTGATTATCTGTATACATATCAAGCAGCAAAGAAATTTAAGGAAATGACTACTTTAAATTTCTGCTTTCTAATTTTAAATCAGACTCACAAATTTATTAATTTATGTATTAAAAATAGGAAACTAAATACTTCTTTCTTATGTTTCAGTATAAAACGTGAGGAGTTCTACTCAGTTATAACCCAACAGGAGCACCCTTTGTTCGGACGGCCATATTTCATCATGCATCCTTGCCACACCGCCCAACTGCTGGCACAGTTCCGGCTCAACTCGAGAAATATTATTGTCACATTCCTAAGTCTTATTACACCATTATTAAAACTAGAATTGCCATTAGAATATGGCCTTTAAAATGTTTAGACAAATTTGTAATGTTTAAATGTTTAATCAGCATTTTTGAACTAGTTTTCATGTCGTCAATGTTGTAAAATATTAGTGTGATTTTATCTAATATGTATAACCCTTTCAATGCTTGAAATTTAGTAATATGAAAACCAAGTTACCATTTTTGTCTTAACACATCTAGCGCCACCAACTTTACTGGTGAGTCACAGTCACTTTATTATGAAAAAATTAACAGCATGGAATGTGTTAAGAGTGAAAGCAATCTAGTCAATATTACTACTACCTGTTTAAAAATTATGCCGTCATGGAGGGAAAGAGAAGAAAAATCTTTTTCTTATGCCACTAACATGTTATGTGAACGAGTCTTTGAAAAATAAAGAAAACAACTTATTTCAAGGGATTACTAAAGCACAAGTCATCTTATTGACATAAAATATTATAGAATTAGAGAAAGCATTTAGTAGTTATTATGTATTTTATCTATTCTATTTAAAAAAAAATATATAATCTGCATGCTTCTTCTATAAAAAAATATTAAAAAATAAAGTACCTTTCGCTTGCTATTTACTGTTTAAAAGATAATTATTGCGTACAATAGTTTTTAATTCATATTAATCTTTTTAAATATGCAAGAGGTATTTTTATTTTGTGTGAAGTATGCCAGTATTGCCAAATAGAAATCTATAACCACCGCCTACCTCTTTGCAGTGCCACAGTAGCTCTATAGATATTGAAAATGCTATTAGTTCTACAATCCTGCTCAAAATATCTAATTTATTTTTTATTTATTAATATTCAACGGTATTATCGATCTCTTTTAAGTAAATAAATAATGATGTAATTAAATGTATTGGATTCAAAGAGTTTTATTTACTTGACACATACTTGAATTGTGTAACCTAAATCTCCATTTCCATTTTATGCTAGGCCATGTAAATCAGCTCTGAACCGATTCAAAAGTTCTACTCACGTAAGCTTGAACCGTTCAGCTATGATTAAACAACAAAATTGGCAGCTCATTGCGATGTACTATAACTATGCGAGTCATTGGGCCACGACCTGCTCGATGAGCTGGTGACTCGCAGTTTGCAGTACGAAACCCAAACCATAATCCTATGCGGGTACAAATTGAGTCGAGCTGCGAGTCGGTTCACTTATTTGTGCCGTGAGCTGATCTGCAGATCATCAATTTTAGTTGAGTTACCCATGACTATTACATTGCGATAAACTCGTTCTCGTACCAATATCATGTACTCAAATTTCTGTACACTAATGACCAGATATAACGCGTAACACTTTTTAATGTCTATATTCATTTATTTAAAATCAAAAGACTCGCGACATTAATTTGTAATTAATTAATCTTTACTTAAGTCATTGGGTATTTTTGATCGTTCTTTTATATTGTTATGTGGCAAGCGGCCAACTGGATTCGCCGAAATAGCGAAACAACCGCTGCCCATAGACATCCGCAATTGCAGATAAGTTGCCCACTTTCAATTGACCTGAGGAGGGAATGCATAGAAAGAGAATGTTTCCCCTTTCTATGCGTCCCTTCCTCCGTCAAATACAATCCCCTTCCATCGTTTTCTGATAAGAAAATCATGGGAAAGGAAAAAGACTAAAGTTAGGCCTCGGGCACCAAACTCATTAGAATGTACGCGAAATTGCTTCCATTTCACCTCCTGTCTTCTGTATGGTCAAGGTATTTCACCGGGCGACCCAACCAATTCCAGCAACAGATGTTATGCTGGCATCAGCTAACGTGAAAACAATTTATATCTTTGTAACCTACCCATCATAAAGGTAGTTTCTACAAAAAAAACTATCTGAAGAGTCCGTACCGCACTGGAAAATATTCATTCAAATTCTCGTGAGGGAGGTCGTCGCGGCCCGTCGCCCAGTGAACGACGGGCCGCGTCCGCGAAATAATACCAGTACCACTCATTCTGAGGAACCGATGGGCTCGAAAGTAGTCGGTGCCGCCACCGGAAGAATATACGAGTGTTTAGCCGTTTTTATATCAGTTGGGAAAATGTCTAAGCTATGTCTATCGAAGTAAATTTCGGTATCAACTAATAGCTAATAAATATGTATACTTAAAAATTCACCACCACCAATTCCACCAATAATAAGACTCGTAAAATATGTTGGACATGATGTAGCTATAAAAATTATCATAAACCGTGATTTGTTGTGCCCATGTACATTGTATTTTTAATTGAACATAATAAAATTATTTGTTATTCAAATAAATTTTTATTGAAATGGTTAAATTATAGCGTAAAATTCATATAACGACTTTAAGTTTCGTTCTACCCCTAAAAATATTATATACAACTGCCTAATTTTTTTAGTATTTAAGGGTATCTTTATTTTAGTAAACCTAATTCCTATGTTCTTTTTCATCATTTCAATTGTTGGCCATGTGCAGTAGCAACGGCCTCTTAAAATCAGATCTATCAAGTATCGTTAACCCATTATTCATTTAACAACTGTCGCAAAAGTGACAGCTTTATCATAAACCAAACACGTTAAAAACGAAAAGGTCTAGGCCCAGCGGGCATCGTGCGCCGGTTTTATTGATATCTTATTGAACGCCGATAAGATTGCTTACGCTATCAGCTCAGTTGTTTCAACTCCTGTCGTATTTACAGACAGCTCCACGGTCACGATACGCTTTTCGTTTTTTTCTTAATATTAAAATGTGCATTAAGTGAAATAGTCAACGGACCATAGACATAAAAAAGGGAAATGGTTCTCGGCAATGGTGTGCGTAGATTACGCGAGTGTGTGTGTGCACTTTTCGTATTTATTTGCTGTTGCTGTGCTGTGAGTGTTTTTTTTTAATTTTAAATAAAGATGTATCGTTAATGGAAATAACACTTAGCGCATTATTGTAAACTATACAACTCGTAATATTTAAAAAAAACAATACTTATTCGCGCCAAAATGTTGTTTGATTAATTACAACAATTTATTATTTTTCAAAATAATTATAGCAGTTTTGACTTAGGTAAATCTAATGGATGTACCATAGTCTGGATCAACAATGACATCAAATTCTCAAGTCGACTATACTAGTATTTAATAATGGATTTTCAAAAACAGTTTAGGATGATTTATCGTTAGATGACTAATATATCGATAAGTTCAGAATAACGTAAACTAAAATTGCCTTAGAGATATACCAAACTATATTACCTACTGACAACTCGTAATAAAGTGATTAAAGTATTCGTTATGTGTACTTTAAATTAAATGTTAATGTTTTTGTAGTCTTGCGAAAGTGTGAACAAGAAATAAAAAAATATTTTAGGTTGAATTTTGAAATCCAACCTAAAATTATTAGTAATGAAAAGAGTATTTTTAGTTTGTGAAAAAATATGACGTCATGATATAATTTGCGGCGTATCCATATTAAGATTATAAAATGGGATAAAGCGTTAAACAACAAATTCATCATTCAGATAAAAATCATTATTACATTTATGATAAAACGAAGTAATCTGAACTGCAATCTTGTATCATGGCCAACGTAAATTTGGAACTCCCCAGTGAAAGCCGATAAATGTAATTTATGGTAATATTTATTTATCGACGCTTTTTTAAAATCTATTTTACGTGCCTACGCATTTCGTTATATACGAGTTAAAAGTTTCAAAGCTCAGTGTGTCGATTTCCAAAGTATCTCTATAAAACATATTGATATCTTAATTCAGATAACGAGTAAACAAGAAAGTAATGAGTTAGAATATTAAGCTACAAAGGTAGAGAACGACTGAATAAAATATGGATGGATTGTGTGAAAAAGGATGTGCGTAAAAAGAAACGTAATTCTATACATGATGGTTGATACAGTTGCTTGGAACATACGTATTTAGAGTATAAAAAGCCGCTCCTCCGTAGGGAAACCGAAGGTGTAACTTTTCATCATTATTACTTAAATATCGTGAAAAAAAACGCAATTATTCTTTATGTAATTGAATCTTTCGTATCGATTTCCTTCAATAAGCAAACTTTACGCCTGCGATAATTTCGTACTAATGATAAGGTCGTGTAGTGTTTTGTTTTTAATGGATTAGCATAAAAAGATAGTGTATATGTAAATTTAAAAAATTTTAAAAACATCAAAAGTAATTTTAATTTATCGAAACGTTATCAAATGATTGAACATTTCGCTTAGTAAAAGCGTTCCTTTGAGTCTCCTGATGTCGAGATCTCAGTGTTACTCAATACTTTGATATTCATGTTGTAGGTAAAAATTATTCCACACATTTTAAAAAAGTTTATTAAAATGAAGGTAATTTTCTCTGTTCTGTATCGCGTCTATTCTATGGTTTGGTTTTTTTAACATTTTCAAACCAAGCTCAGTTACTCGCGAAAGTGACATATATATAAGTATACAAAAGATTTCAAACAAAACAAAAAAGAATTCAATAACAATCATCAATCGAGTGCATTAACCGATTTTGTGTTATCAAAGCTAATACTTTTATATAGACGCATTTAGCGCATAATAACCTAGATCTGTCTCCTAAGTCCTGAATTATCGTCTGCATACACCTTATCTCTATTTCGTGTATTTCTTAATTTACCAATTCGAAAATAACAAAGATACATTATTTCCATTACATTTTAATGTATTTGATACGTCAAGTTAAATTTGGTGCCAACTTTTGAGCGATATTCGAAAGGGAAATTACCACGCTATCATAGAAACAGCGTAAACTTTACCTTTACATACTCTAATACTAATTTTCATCCATTATTCATACTCTTGAAGGTCATTTTTTTATATCATAAAGTGACAAACGAGCGAGCGGCCACCTGAAATCGCTGAAATAGCGAAGAGACCGTTGCCCATAGACATACGCAATTGCATATGCGTTGCCTAACTTTAATCTACGAAGGAGAGGATGCACAGAAAGAAAATATTTTCTCTTCCCATGCATCCTCTCATCCGGAAAGTCCACTTACACTTCCCATACTTTTCTTCCCAAATTTTCACAAACATATTTATCGCAATTGAGGATGCCTGTAGGCAGCGGAAGCTTCGCTATTTCAGCAAATCAGTGGCCGCTTGCAAACTTGCCACCTTATAATATAAAAAAAGAAAACCGAAGTCATAACTAAAATGTTTACAGCTGAGTTTGAAGCAATAGGCAATTGCTAGTTATAAAACACTTAAGGACATGCGAAGGTGGAACATTATCCGTGATAAAGCCACGATAGTGAAGTGCAAATATTGATTAAGATTAGTGCCTTGTTACGACGGCTTCGACGTTACTCATAAACCCGAAATTACAATAGCCAGCATGATACAAGAATATATCGAGAGGTTTGAATGACACAGCATATTTGCAAATCAATCCAAATAAAGCATACGAGGAAAAGATATGAACCGTATCTACTTCATCCGTTCCTACTCCCTTTGAGTCTTGCCTTTGTTAAAAAATGTTGAGAAAAAAAAGAAATTGGGAATCGAGTCTCCAGGACCACAATTGGCAGACATGATTGAAAATACTTTTTTGACTCTTTTCTTCCGTGTTTTTGAGGACACAACTCCAATAAACTCTTCTGCTGTTTTAGCCAATTAAATGAGGATGATTAATGGAATCTTCCAATCCATTTCTTGACTTATTCGGATGGACATGTGAAAGTCATCTGAAATAATTAATAGTTTTTCTATAAATGAATAGAATAGAAGTATTGTATCATGACAAGACAAAAAAAAAATTATGTAATGACTGGTGGGTTGTGGAGGACTTGCAACCTCTTCGTTGTTATTATGTTGTGGAAATTGACCATCCGCGGCCCGCAGCTGCAGTCGTCCCACGCTGCAGCCGCATTGCGAACCCTCACTCAGTGTCCGCTAATTGTTGACATGGTGAACTTGACTTTGACGTATCGAAGATCGCACGCGGAAAATGAGGGTAAATCTTCTATTTAGCTTATGGTTATATTGGTCAACACATTTTCACACTTATTTTTTTGTGTTTTGGAAATTGTTTATTCAATTTTTTATTGAGAATTCTTAGAAACTTGACGAGTTATGATGATTAAATTAACAATGATTATGAATGATACTTTTATTTTGAAGTTACCCGTGTAAACGTAAACTTCTTATTGTCTTTGTGAAAATATACTCAGAACATAAGTATATCTAATATACTTATGTTCTAAGTAAATAACGTTTTGTTGCATTTGTCAATGGTTCGGTATTTCCCGATTTAGGTAATTATTGTGTTTAAAGAATGAAAGTAATCGATTGTGACGTCACCTCAAGGACATAAGACTGTCCGATAATCTCACGGTAAGCTTTTATTAGTACACTGTTCATCGTGGACCTAACTATTTTCTATCATATTCTTTTCCGTAAAAAGTTTCACGCGACTTCAATTACTTTGATAAAAGTTAGGAATCAAACTTAAAACTTGAACACACAATTCCTTCTGAGGTAAAAAATCGTCTACGTTTGATGGACTTCGGTTATATCGATACTCAACCATAATTTAAAAGAATTATTATTTTTTCAATCTTACAAGATTAAACGTTTTGAAACCACTATTCACGGATTAACAAAGAGAATTTAAATAAACAAATCCCCACAGGATATAGAATAGAGGTTAGCTTTTCGTTATCGGACACTTATACGGAAACAATTACGTTTCTATTATTAATATTGTTATCAAATGATAACAACAAAGACCTACGTAGGTAACGTGCCATTTTCGCAAGACACATGGCTCTATCTTTTTAAAGCATTTTGCAACGTATAGTCAGTCGAACTTTGAAATCAATTTGTTTTGAAAAGAATGACATTGAAAAGCTAATAAACTTTCTCCGTTCTTATTCAACTCCTTGTGGGGTCGGCACAACAAGATTTCGTCTCCCAACCGTTGGTTTCTGAGATCAAAATCTCTGTATAAAATATATCATCATCACTGACATTATCTTTGATAAAACAGAGATAACATAGATATGTTTTAATCTTGGTTTTTGGTCTCAGAAACCCAAGATATTATAAATCGATGTATCATTAATTTCATTCTAAATCGTGTCATACATTATCTCTACTTAAACTTACTCTTACCGATATACCTATCTATATACAGCAAAGGTTTATGTAAAATAAATTGTACAGTCTAACAAAGTATCGGCGGCGGCGGAGACTCGTCTGATCGAAGTTGGCGCGGCGGACGAGCGCAGTAAGAAGAAACACAACAAGATCAAGACCTCCAAGTACACGCTTCTCATGTTCCTGCCAAAGAACTTGATGGAGCAGTTCCGCAGGGTCGTCAACTTCTACTTTCTGATCGTCACCGTCATCGCTGTTGTTATAGGTTTGTTTTACTGATTTGTTACAACCCTAGGAATTAAACATTTTGTAAATGATGTCACCAATATGCACAAGAGCTTATTTTCATGCTTAAATTGCATAAGAAATAATAGATAAGCTAGAAATCGTATGATGTTAGCCATACGTATCTTACTACTTCCACAAAATAATTCCAGGATAACAGGATCATTGAATATCTGTTAACACTTTTTATTTCAAGTGTTTTGGGAACTTTTAACGTTGTGCTGTAATATTTTATCATATTTATAATAAGTTAATCGCTGAGTTGATTACAGTTCAGTCCTTTAATATCGATTTGCATAACTATTGACTACAAACAGTTCTTTGTGAATAAATTAATATTATATGGCCGTGACGTGGACTTTGATGTAGAGTAATTTATATTGTGTGTGTACGTCAAATGTCCTTGTTGGTAGGGGTGCTAGGTCCGGGGTCGCGGACGAAAGCGAAAGCGTGCCCGTGGCCCCGTACCGATGCCTTGGAGGAACAGAGAGGTTTAGTTGGTATGCCTCCGCTATGGAGGAGAATCCCACATAACTACCGCGACCCCCCGGGGCTTGGAGTATGCATAAAGCATTCCTCTCTGGGAAAAAAAGGGGTGCTAGGTCGCTAAACCTAATAGCTGGACAGACCTCAGTTTGGCCGGACATTTAATTAGAAAAGCCGGACGGCCATTATTGAGAATTTTGTCTCAGTAGGTTCGACAAAAAATTTATGTAAAATCACTTTCTTTTGCGAAATGTTAAAAGCCTAATAGAAGCCGGACAAGCTTATGTCCGGTTTTATCCAGATGCCCGGAAACGTTACTAGTATATGGTTATTAATGACATTTGTTATGACAGATAGCCCCGTGTCGCCATTCACGAGTATAGCTCCCCTGAGCTTCATGGTGTTGGTAACAGCGATGAAGCAAGGCTACGAGGACTGGCTACGACACAAGGCAGACAACAAGGTCAACAACCAGATCGGTAAGTCTGTTTCGATCTCTATAAATGACAGCTTTTGTTTTTATGTTGATGTTACGTGAGAGTAAATTTTATCTATATTATTAATTCAAATTTACACCACCGCTACAAACCGCTACCATGAGCGCCAAAATGGCGAAAATGTCGTACACTCATATTAAGTAACAATGCTGTTTTTCTACTCTCGTTACGTTTAATACTAACACCATCAGCTAGATATATGTGCGCTTTTTCGCTCGCCATAACCAACTATTTATTTATTTGGTTTTTTTGTAATTTTTCTTAGCTAAATCATTTATTTCTTAAGAAATTAAAAAATAAATCTTTTGAGTTACTTATGATAAGATAATAAGGTAAAATGTTGTTTTTATAATTTTTTGTTAATCCGTAATTATCTAATCTGAGGGTTCTTTCCCTTACTAATGATGATCTCAATTCTAGTAAATCAAATGATAGTAATTACCAAGAATTAGATCTTAATCTGAACTACGCAATGTTATCTTTGCATATGGCCTTGAAAATATGTTCCGTCAGTGGAGACTTACGGTTCTGTACACAACAAGCTTTTGACCGACACCGGCCGTGCGGAATTAAAAAACAAACCCTTAGCATATGTGTTCTTCCAGACGATACCAAATTTCAGCGGGATCCGTTTACCTGTTCTGGTGATAACAAACATCCATCCATCCATACATCTAGATTTTCGCATTTATAATATTAGTAAAATCAATAGGATGAATCAGACGACAAAGGTTGGTTTAAATTGTGAATAACATAAAAACACTTGAACATCGAACCTGACCCAGTGCGGACTTTATCTAATCAGATCACTACATCCACAGCCCTTCACGTGACTTTGAAGGCAAATATCTGCCGTAAAACTGAACTGCCAATAGATTGAATAAATCTCAATAGAAGATAAAACAATTTTTATCTTCATTTATACAGTAATCTTTTCGTACCAATTAATACCTAAAGTCAGTTTTCTCCCAAATGTTACCTAGTTAGTAGTAGCTAGTATATTGGCGCCAGTTTTATTTTCCTCAAACAATTCGTCTTTGGTATTCATAAAAAGGCAAGACGTCAATAACTTATCAAGTTATCCAGTTTGGCCGCATCGTCACAGGATTACCATTAAAAAAAAGAAAAGCTTATATTTACCTTTTTGATTTATACCTTTAATATGAGATTACTTTTTTATTCCACCAGTCCACATTGATTTATTCCCGTCATATGAAGCTGAGACTAGTCGCTATATCTTTCCAATTGGTGTTTTATTTTACAGTGGAAACAGTTCGCAATGGTGTTATCAACAAAGTGCGCAACTCCTCGATCGCGCCGGGCACGTTGGTACGGGTGCGACGAGGGCGCGAGGTGCCGGCGGACCTCGTACTGCTCTGCGCGGCCGACGGTGCCGGCAAGTGCTACGTCACCACTGCTAATTTGGATGGCGAGACGAACCTCAAGACACTGAGAGTGCCCCCACCACTGGTCGGATATACACCCGGTATCCAGCTTTATCACAACTAAATAGATTCCTTAGTAGCTTTAGGGTAAGATCTGGTGAGGAGCATAAGGGGCGCCACATGTGGCAGAGTCGGATATAAAGGGGTTCCCGTTGTGCATCTCTCCTCTGAATACTCTAACTTTGGAAGATTATCCCCGACACCAGACAAAAGGGGGCGTTACTAAAATCTCAGGACCGCAAAAAGCCCACGGAGCCAGAAATGCTAATGCTACTATTCCTTAATTTTAGCACAGTTTAGATAGCGTTTCATTATTTATAAACTAAATAATTCAATTACTAACTTCAAGGATTTCAGTTTGGAAGTACCGCTGATTTAAATGATTGATTGTTACGAGTAAAGTTTCGTCGGTTAAAATAAACCTAAGTGTTTTCCTTTACTTTTTTAGATATTCTACCACACGGCATGCGTATAGAGGTGCCGCATCCAGTAGCCGACCTGTACACGTTCTATGGGCGTCTTGAGATCCCCGGTCAGGACAGCTTGGCGCTCGGTACTGACAACCTCATGCTGAGAGGCTCAAGAGTCAAGAACACCGAGTGGGCGATAGGATGCGCCGTGTACACTGGTAAGATTATCATATTATGTTGTTGAATGTTCTGCAGTCTGATTTTTTTAAACGGACACTTTCGAAGGAAGAATTTCCTGGTAGAAACATAGCGCGTATTAAAGTCGCGAGAATAAACATACAGATAATATTATGAAATTGATTTTGGAACCTCGATTCTTGCTAAAATAAGATGTGATTTTTATCTATTTTATCAATAATACGTTGGCCTTGATTTTAGAATGACGCTTTAGAATAGAATGCGCTTAAGTAAACAAAGAGCTTCCTTTTTACCTACCGAGACTAGTTTTTCTTCACCTTTTTTGATCAATTTAAATCTTTTTTTGCCTCATATTTACACATTTTGAAAGTACTTAAATATTTATTAAAAATCTAGTAATTACCGTGACACTTTAGTTTTGATATGAATTTCTGTGAATCTTGAATATTGATCTTCTTTTTGCTTTCCTTTTTCCATTGGGAATCAGGATATCCATCCTTATCTTATCCATCAAACAATCATCATCAATCATCAGCACAATCTGTCTACATTTTAACATTGCTCAATTTCGTTTTAGGAGAAGAAACAAAATTAGCTTTAAACTCGAAGTATTCTGGGAACAAATTTTCGTCCTGTGAATCAGCAGTAAACAGTTTTCTGGTGTTGTTCATCTTGTTATTACTGTTCGAAATATCGATATCGATGGTATTCAAAGTGATTATCGAAAAGAGACATCCCGAGAGAGACGTATTCCTGGGACCGGGGACAAAGTACCCGCCGTCAGTCGCGACTGTACTTCAAGATTTATTCTCCTTTCTACTGCTATACTACTATATTATACCAATGTCTCTATACGTTACTATCGAGCTGTACAAATTTATAGGTAAGATAGAAATATAAATAGAATTACTATTAAGCATTCTTTGGGGGAGGTCTATGCCCAACAGTGGACGTCATATGGCTGAAACGATGACGACTCACAACAATAAAACAAAAGTGTAGACAGATATTAGGGATTTAACATGACTAGTTTACATTTTCTCGATAAAAATTTCTGACACCTGATACAATCTTATCGTACAAAAGTTTGATATGACACGACACAAATGAAAAAGAACAATAGCATTGCATCAACGCAAACCTACTCTGTTATCATATATTCTAGTTTCCTTAACGTGATTTTCTGAGTTCAAAATCTCTGTATAAGACAAATCAGAGATAAAAATATGTATTAATCAGGGATTTTGGTCTTGGAAACTCAAGATTAATCTACTCTTTATAAATTTTTTTTGCAAAAATAATGTGAACATCGATATCTAAACTAAGCTAAATATTCATAACGTGACTGGACCAAATTCTCGAACTCATCAGTAATATATCGGCACATCCTCAATGCTTATAACGAAACAAGCTAACATTTCATTGATTCCATTCAGAAATAATTGTTAAAAGTTGTAATTTAGGTGCATTGTTCATTGGCTGGGATGAGGAACTCCGCTGTGAGGAGACAGGTCGACCTGCTATCGCGAACACTTCCGATCTCAACGAGGAATTAGGACAAGTCGAGGTGCTCTTCTCAGACAAGACGGGCACACTTACTAAGAACCTTATGGTGTTCAAAGCTTGCTCTATTGGAGGTCGCGTGTACGAGGAGAAAGAGTCTAGACTTTATGATATAGAGAGATTTGATGAGCCGGCTGACACTTTTCAGGTCCGTAATTTGTTTGATAATAAACGATATTAGTCACATAAATGATAGAAAAAGGATTGTTTATTTCTTTACATCATGAAATTGTAGAATTCTCTTGATTTTGCTTTAGTGACAACTTTCTATTTCAGACAGATATTAAATTTTTCTTCACAATACTCGCGCTGTGCCACTCTGTGCAAATATCTAGCGAGGACATGAAGAAACTGAGCGCGAGATTATCTGGAAATGGTAACATGCAACTTATGAATTTCTTTCGGAGGAAAAAACTAAATAGAGGAACAATCGGCAATGTTAACAATGTGAATGAAAACAAACCTGGTGTTTTAAATACCATAGCATGGAATAGCCTTCTTAGAGATACTGGAAGCAAAATGGATTACCAGGCGAGCAGTCCTGACGAAAAGGCTCTAGTGGAAGCTGCCGATAGAGTCGGTGTAACATTCCTCGGTGAAGAAGGAAACAATTTGGTCATAAAAGTCGGAGATGATACGGAAATGTATGAACGCTTGCAACTTATTGAATTTACATCAGAACGTAAACGGATGTCGGTCATCGTTAGAGACAAAAATGGAAAGGTAAGTCTAAGACGAGTAAATTAATTTCATGGAAGCAAGATATTAGATTTAATTAAGGAAAAAGATCGACAATGTTACAGATTTGGCTGTTTTGTAAAGGCGCGGAGAGTTCTGTGTTTCCTATCTGTAAAGACACAGTTATGATTGAAGAGACAAATCGTGATATAAACGCATTTGCAAATAGGGGACTGAGGACTTTAGCGGTCGCATATAGAGAAATACCATATGAAGAATACGCCAGGGTTACGGAAGGTGAGTTGATATAGAAATGTCACCAGCATGCAATGTAGAAGTTGCTTCTAATATTGATTACGTTTATTTGATGGCAGCGATAAAGCGTATAGACGGTAAGAGCGCGTCGGCGCTGCAGCAAGTGACTTTGCAGTACCGCGTGCTGGAGCACCAGCTGACTCTGGTGGGCGCCACCGCTGTCGAGGATTGTCTGCAGGACGACGTCTCCGACACTCTGGCTTCTTTGCGCCGAGCTGGCATCAGGACTTGGGTCCTGACGGGGGACAAGGTATAGTCTGACAAATTTCTAAAAGTTGTGCTGAAAATTCATCTTATAGGAGTTCAAGTGATTGGGTCAACGCCACTCACTTCAATTTCTTGGTGCCAGACTACTTCAGCTCTTTTTCTATTCATTTGCAAATTAGCTGCATTATTGATAAGATATAATTAATATTGATAATACTTCAGCTTCAAATGTTTTATTGTCTAAAACGGAAATTGTAAGATTTGTTTTATCAATTAATCCAATGTTATTATAAATTATAAAAATTAAATCGGGATAAACAACTATTGAAAATTCTTTACTTTTAGGTAGAAACAGCAATAAATGTAGCACAATCTTGCAGCCACATCTCAGAGAACGACAGGCGAATGTTCCTTATCGGAGTGAAAGACGAATTAGCACTCCAAGCCCACCTCGAGGAGTGCCAGCGGACGATACTGGAGCCCAGCTACAGAGACCTCACGCTCATTGTGGACGGCACCAGCATGAGCTGTATACTGGACACGCCAGCTGCACCCGCCTTCGTTGATGTGTCCTTGAAATGTAATGCTGTGCTGTGTTGTCGACTATCCCCTATACAGAAAGCTAAGGTAAGTTCTTAAAAAAATTAGTTTCAAGCAATTGAAACCATCATAACGATTCAATGTGGTAGTTTTAAAATATTCTTCCTGCCTTTTAGCGTCATGTAATATTTCATAGCCAACTTCTAACTGGTAACTTTACAATTTTGAGCCCAGAAAAAAGGTATGCATTTTTCAATTTGTTGCAGATAGTAAAATTGATAAAGAACAGTCCAGAGAAGCCGGTGACGGCAGCCATTGGCGACGGCGCCAACGACATATCCATGATCCAGGAGGCTCACGTCGGCTTCGGCATCTTCGGAAAAGAGGGACACCAAGCTGCTAGGTACCTATTTTCTGACGTTACAGCATCTTAGAAGAGAATTGGTGAAAACAAAATAGTTTCGATAACTAATGTAAGGTAATTGCCGTTCCCAGGTCAGCAGACTTTGCGTTCACCAAATTCTCAATGGTGAAGAAAATGTTGCTGGTGATGGGGCACTGGTACTATCAGCGACTCGCCACGCTCATACATTACTTCTTCTACAAGAATCTGGTGCTCGGGAACATTATGGTATGCTAAAATTTCTAGAAATCCGTTACAACGATTTCGAAAAACTGTTTCAGTCATGTTCAGCTCGGCGGAGACACTACTGTGCCCCTGTGCTGTGCTGATATGTATTAATATCTGTTACCCGACGTGATGTGTCTTGTTTCAGTTGTTCTTCCAAGTGCACTCAGCTTTCTCGACGCAGTCCATCTACGACTCGATGTACCTGACGCTGTACAACTTGCTGTTCACCTCGGTGCCCTGCCTCGTGCTCGCCGTCACCGACCAGCGCTGGCCACAAGCATTGCTTATGAAGTAACTACATCTTAATAAAACCTCTTTTCACAAAGCGACTTGCTAATATTAGTCAGTGGACATCGGTTCTTACGAAAGGATAATTTATACCAAATATAGTGGTAATAAACATTTTTCTCCATTTTGTCATTGGAAATAATTTAACCGTAATATTGTTTTCAGAAACCCAACATTATACAGAGAAATAAGGAAGAACAGGTTGATGTCGTGGTGGAACTTCCTCGCGTGGCTCCTGTCCTCTGTCTATCATTCTGTACTGATTTACGGCTTTTCAAAGCTGGTATTTATGAGTTCCGTCATAAACACCGATGCTAAGACTGTCGATTTATGGTAAGAAACTTTAATATCATCGACAATTTTTTCTGTAAGATTAGTAAATTCACTTCTTATCCTTTCCTGACGAGGAAAAGATGAGAGGGGGTAGAGGTAAAGATAGAGAACACGAATATATAAATAATCTTTTTCAGTTTATCCTATCCTCTGTCCAATTAAGGTACTTAGATAATGCATCTGTTGCAGTTTTCGTGTGACTTGGAGGCTCTAAACTTCTTGAGCTGCCAAGATATTTGAAAATACCTATACCCATGTTGTAGCAAATGTCTATGGATAGGGTTAATTATATGAGGTTGCACTTTTACTGTATGGTATAAAATATGAACTTTATATTGGTATTACAGGTGCTTCGGAGCAGTGCTGTTCCATATGATGATGCTGGTGGTGAGCCTGCGCTTGTGGCTGCAGGCGCGCTACCACACGCTCGTGTTCGTCCTCACGCTGCTCCTGTCTATGCTCTGTTACGTCATCTTCAACACTATCTACTCTTTGTTCTATTTGTAAGTATATCACAACAACTTTCCCATTTGTTAAATGTTTGATGACTCTAAAATTTAGACGACACAATTGATCTTTTTGTCATTCTGAATCTGTAATAGCGCGATATAAGAATCATCATAAATCAAAACTCTGTGTGAAGGTCAGATGCAATTTGTAGTATAAATAGATGTCTTTATTTTAATATTTTAAATATTTTTATTCTCAGTGAAATCGACGGCGATGTGCTGGGAACGTACATAAGACTTTTAACGTCTCCATCTTTTGGTTTCCTTAATTGTTTAATGATAGTGGCAGCCCTCGCGCCGGACTATTGCGCGCGCTACATCACTGACAGCCGCGGTCTGAGACATTTCAACACCGGTGTTGCCACTGTACAGAGAGTATTTTCTACTAGACTTTGAACGACTTATTGTTATTATTTTAGTGAAATTTATTGCATACTATGGTGATAACGAGTATTGGAGTTAAATCGATGTGAGCGAATTTAAATGATTTAGCATTTATTTAGATTTAAGATTTAGTGCACATGTGATATGTAATTATAGAATTGAACGTTAGGGTCCAAAATAAACTTGTGTATACGATTGTTGACAAAATGTGTATTAGTTTTTATTTTAAGTGTTGTGTTCGCATTTGCATGCATTTTTATGCCTTTTAGGTATTTACTAAAAAGAATAATAGCCAAAGTAAATATCAAATATTAAATTACACTACACAGTGTTACTGAATTGTACTATTTTACACATGACGTCACAGATTATATCGACAATTATTAATTATTAATAAAAACCGCATTTAAAAACTCTCGAAAGACAGTATTACCGTTCAAAATCCATTTAATTACGTACTTTAATTAAGACAAAAGGCTGTATGTAAATATATGTTTAAATATATTTACATACAGCCTTTTAATAAAATATATAAGTTAAAATTAAGTTTGCTTGTTATTTTAAAATTTGGATTATAATCAAGTTACATTGCTTTAATATTAAATAATTAAAAAAAAACTATTTGTGCTATAAGTGTGAAATTATATATATTCTACGGACTAAATGTTAGTATGTAAATAAAAATAAAAAATGATGTAAAATTTATTAATATAAGTTAAGTATAAGTTTTTGGTTATAATTTATAGATTAATTATTAATATAAAGTACAAAGTACGCCAAACTTACAACGGGTAGATGAATGTATTTACGATATTAAAATGTAAATTACCGATTGCAAAAAATATTTATTGTATTTAAAATAAATGACTTTATTTTGATAATCTGTGGTATATTTATTGCAAGAAAATTAAAATTGATTTATAATAAATTTATGCCGCGAAATTGATTTCCAGTGTCGCCTCAAATGGACTTTACCGCCCTAATTGATAAAATACTTGAGCATAAAAAACCAACGTGCATGTATGCGCAGATGTATGAACAGAGAATAATCGAGAAAGTTGTATCAGAAGCGCGCCAAATGGAAATCCATAGATTGTGCCTACCCCTGGTGTGAGTTATGTTGTTGTTGAACCAATTGCAATTTAAACAACCGCTAGTTTATAATTAAACAAAAAACAACCGAAAAATTAGTCATACCTCAAATAATATTACTAACTAGTAAGTCAGACAAAAAGAAATGGCCCATGAGGGGATCGAACCCGCGACCTTCGCGTTATTAGCACGACGCTCTAACCAACTGAGCTAATGGGCCGACGTCTCAAATAAAAAAACAAGATAAAACAAGAATTATCTTCAAAATATAATCTGAATTTAATTTCTATCAATTGTATTCATATTATAAAACAATTAGGTAGTTGTGTAATTTCTCTATATTATTTTTAAATTAAATCTACAAAAAGCCTTTTTAGAAGTGCTACTTTTAACCTTGGATTGGAAAGAGTAGTAGATTACATCTAAACATGAATTACAGTAAATGCATTTTTATACGACTTGTAACACAGAATATGTTTATCATATAATAATCAATTGTACGAAATTTTAACAAAATTATATATAAATAAATTAATTATAACAATATGCAAATGTTTATCTTAATTTATGTAACAAAAGTTTTAGATTTTATATTCAACTTACATCGTCATCGGCCCATTAGCTCAGTTGGTTAGAGCGTCGTGCTAATAACGCGAAGGTCGCGGGTTCGATCCCCTCATGGGCCACGAAACCTTTTTGTTCTTTTTTTCGTGAAATTGGAAAGTATAAGACACCTTCGCTTTTTTGCTGCTAATAAATAGTTCGCGATTTGCTAAAATTCCTTACCATATGTAACCTTTAAAGGGTTAAAATAAAAAAAACATATTCGTTCTGAAATTTTATTTCCTGTAAAATTATACATCAAATAGACTTCTTCGAGAAGTAATCTGTTATTTTTTTACTAATCTTCTTTTTGACATCCATTGACAAATCCATCGAAGACCGTTTGGTGTCTGCATCTCCGCTGGCCGACTGCGAGCTCTGAGACAGCGGCAATGTATGCGGTCGCGAGAAATTTAAACTTCCACTGCCTTCATCTAATTTCTCCATTTCTTGGAACAATCGTGACGTCAAATCGCTCGAATTAGCGGCCATTTTGTTATCGGATGGCGTTTTGTCATCAGTGTCCATTTTGTCATCACTTGTCTGTTTAGGTTTTTCGAGGTTTTTATTTGTATCTGCCTGTTGGTCTTCGAGCAATTTTTCTTGGGTGTTCATGTGGAATACGAAAGGAGAATTGAAGCATTCAGTTACTACTGAGTCGCTCATGTATAAGTCATCTCGAGTTTCACTCTACAAACAGATAAAAGTTTTTACTATACAATACAATTTATTGGTGATATAAAAAGTTACAAGTAATAAGTACGATTTACAGTAAAAAAATTATGGGACATATAGTTTTTTCTTACAGTTTGTTTAAGGAACTGCAATATTTTTCTCACTTATAGAGGTCGTGCCTCGGGACCCGACAAGGAATTAAATGTAACAATTATCTTTGTGAACTTACTTCGGTGGAGTCAGTGACGGTGGGCGTGGTGGTGGGCGTGGCGCTGGGCGTGGCTGTGGGCGTGGCAGCGACACCTGTGAGCTGCTGCACTATGTAGCGGTGCAAGCGGGATGGGGGCAGACCTTCCTCGCAGAAGTCCAACAGTATTTGATACAGTTGCCCTGAACATGATACAAAATACCACAGTTATTTTGTGACAAATACGAATATACTTCATAATTAAAATGTACTAGTAAAAAAAAAAACAAATTAATTGGCCAATGTTTGTATTTCTAACAATGTGAACTTATTTGAATAAATGACATTTCATTTGTCACTTCTCCTAAATACATCTATATTAATATAATAAATAGGAAAGGTTTGATTGTTTGGATTGAACAGGCTACGACTACTGAACCTATTTAAAAAATTCTTTCACTGTTGGAAAGCTACAGTAGTATCCCCAAGCTATGTTTATTACTAAATTTTTTAAATTTTCATATTTAGTAGGAGTTAATATAAATCCACTCACCAACAGTAACATTATAATTGACGAGTTGAGTGTAGATGGCGTGTATGTCGTCTGCGAGCTTGTTGTCCCTGAACGTGTAGTACGCCATGGGGCGCTGCGCCTGCGCACACGCCATCAGCTGCAGCAGAGACTTGAGGTGGGCGGAGCCGCCGAACGCGCCGCACCCCCAGTTGCCCGTCGCCACGCCCGGGTACTCCATGCCCTCGGTATTCTCGGACGTGTAGAATGAAAAGCCGACCCAAGCCTACAAAATATAAATTATAATGAATTAGCTGTCGCTCGTGAATCCGTATGTGCGGGATTAAATTTAATCGAGAAATGTCGAGCCGTTCTGGTGATACCTTATAACAAACATCCATCCAGTCATCTAAATTTGAATTTGTAATATTAGTAAGAAGTAATATAGTAAGATAAAGAGTTTTTTTTTTATATATCTGTGTTATATTAAATGCTTCCAATAATGATCATGCTCATATCTATAGTGCATTAAGGCAGTTTTTCTCCCCATTAGAATAGAGTTACCTTGTTGAGTTCTCGTGTGATAGCCTCCTTGCGGAACTCATGTCGGGCGCAGTCGTAGAGCAGCGCGTCGATGGCGAGCAGAGCCTGGCGGCGTCGCGCACTGCAGTCTCGCGGCGCGCGCTCCGCCCACGGCCCCGCCCACTCGAACGTGTGCCCGTACCCAGCGTACCTGCTGTACCTCTCCCCGCCTCACACAACACATTGCTACTATCATATACTTCTCTTTTAAACTTACCAAAGCCGCACATTTTAGCGTAGTTATATTTCTTACCTATGATCATGACGGCCTCGTTGGGACGCAGCAGCTCCGTGAAGAGCATGGAGGCCATCAGTTCTGGACAGATCACGAAGCGGATCTCTTCTTGCACGCAGCCGTGGCCCAACACCCCACCGCCCAGATACCTGGACAAAAAGTTAAATTAAACAGGGTATTTTTCCTCCCGAAAATAACATATTGTATTGTTATTCATTGTTTTTTTAATTCTGCGTAGACAAAGCCGCAGACAAAAGCTAGTAAAAAAAACCACATACTTATTAGCAAAATCAACTTGTATAAGTCCATCTGCATCTTCTATTGTGTCGACAGGGTTGAGATGCAGCGGCAAAGCGAGGGACTTCGTGGAGTCCCTCCAGCGGGGCAGCGCACGCGGTGGCACGGAGCGCCGCGAATACGTCACCACGCCGCACGGCACTGCACTGCAACACACCGCCAGGTGTCTGTGTTATACCACCAACAGTATTCACATCACAAACACACCCTGGTTCCACTGAGCCTTCACACATTGAGTAGCACACAGCTAGTGGAAAGAGTATTAGGCAGGTCGGCGCCATAGTTCCTCACATAGTTGACATTTTCACAACCGCTCCAATTATATGGAACATAGAAGGTTTCATTATTTCTTCTTTAACACTTGTTCGATTCAATTATCTTATCAGTGGTATTAAGAGATTGTTTGGTTGTTTTATAAAGTTTTAAAGTTATTCAATAAATATGACATAGTTTCACCTTCTGTGTAAACTCTTCTGAAATAATGACAGATACATTTGAGTTTTTCTATCACATCATCTGATCCTGATGTTTCGTACAACCTGAAATAATGTTTATTCATTTATTATTTAGCCCATTAAAACATATAGTAAGTACTAGCTGTTTCCCATGACTCTGTTCACATGAAATTAAAAATACTAAATAAGTAGCCAACATGTTCGTCCAGACTAAGTTCTATGTATGTGCCAAATTTCAGCAAGATCCTTTAAGCCTTTCCTGCAGGACAGTTTAACAAACATCCATCCATACATCTAAACATTCACATTTATATTATTAGTGAGATAGCTAATATTATATTAAAATCTTACGTGTTAAAATTAATAAAAGGATAACTAGAATATTCAGAGTCTGGCTTCATACTGTTTCTCCGAGGGAATGTACAAAAGAATGCATTTGCCAGCAAACTAGAAATCTGTTGTTGCGATAATGATATAGACATATTTTTGTGTTGTCTGAAAATGAAATAAAAAATAAGATTAAAAAAAATGTTTACTAATTTCACAGGTGTATGCAACAAGCTTTTCAATAAGAAAGTATGGAAAATATTTTTATGAAAGACTAGTTGTTTTCTACGGCTCTACTTGTAATCTATATAATACTTACTTAAGTAATGGTATAGGTGCTTGTATTAATTTAGGCAAATCCAGAACTAGTTTGACTATTTCAGGCAGTGTCACATCAAAGAAGGATTGGGATTCCTCTTCCTCTAAGCACTATAAAAACGTACATTAAATATTAAAATTGTACAACAACAAATATAAAAAATACTGATGTTATTATTGTAAAAGTAAATAATAAAAATACCTCATTGAATAACTTATGTAGAGCTCTAAATTTCCATCTGTTTTTAAACTTAGTATTATATGCTAATATGGCATCGGCTAGTTCGTGACTGTTTCTTATTGGTTTCTTTAATGTATCCACTATGATAGCCCAACGTTTTCTTAACCGTGTTTCACCTTTATCCTGTAGTACAAAGTATGAAACAAAATACATATGAAAAGCTCAAATATAAGGTGACTTTCAATTAAATTGCTAAACTCTATAGTAACAAAGAAACAGACAATAAAATATTAGTATAACTTGAGTAAATAAATAAATAATTTACAAAAGAAAAAAGTGAGGAACGACAGAGTGCAAAACACCTGAAAGCAAAATTAGTAACAAGTTAACAATAACTTACATCAGTGACAGGATATAAGCTGTGCTTAGAGCATGGTAGCCTCACATGATGTTGGTCCCATTTGTCTTGTCCGACCTGTGGCTTCGGAGGTCTGTCATCAGCCAGTACGCCATTACTCGGTATATGATACAGAACTGCATGGTTATGTCCAGGCTGCACAGGAGGGAATCCTGGATTATCCCAAGGAGACTCCGATCCATACAGCATAGATAAAGGAGCTCCTTTCCAATAATTTCCCGACGACATCTTTAAACTTCTAATAATAGGTTGAAAGAACTTCTTTAAGCCTGTAAAGTGTAAGGGAAACCTTTATGTTTATAAACATGACTTTTTCAAGCTTATTGTTACAACAAAATGTAATTTTATACTTACTAAACTCAATAATGTGATTATAAAAAAGAACCGGAAACATGAAAAGCATTGATTTTACATTTTATTTATGCGAAATAACGTAAAATGTAAAAATATTTTTAATCAGTACCAAAGAGTATATAACTAATTCGTGAGTTTTAATTCAGTTCAGTCGCCACCTGTCATTTGAAATGTAGACAAAGAGTAGTCGTAGGTAAGATCTGTCTCATAGATTAGTTGAATTATACGTTGTCTTGTTTTATTTAATTTATTTATTTGATAAATACGGTTGTGTGATTAAACAGTATGATTTTAATAACAGATAAGGTCTCCCTATTTTTGTTACTAGTTGGTTGTTGCTCATTCCATATATTTTTTACATTTAAGACTGTATTTCATATTCTTTGATATATGATTTAAGTGACGCAAAAATTTTAGGTTAAAAACCTAAAATTTTGCGTCACTTGCGAGAAATCTGAAGTAATCGTATAAAAACAATAACATTTTTCACAATTGTTCCTGAAAGTTGCCTGAAAGGCTCAGCGATTCCTTATAACTTATGATTTTAATTTAGAATTAAGTTGTAAATAATGTTGTTTTAATATAAATATTAAAATGAACTTGGAACTATTGGGTCAGTAATAATACTTCTCTGTAAACTTATCTTGTTTGTTATGAATCAATTTCATTACTTACTCTACTTTATATTTCAGAATCATTCGGACAAAATTACCCAGAGGTAAGTGTATTTATTGTCTTACTGGAAAATTCAGACCCTTTCAAATAGTAGCGAAATACATAACCGGCAAAGAAGGCCGGTAATATGCGTTGCGATATAATAATTATAAAACTGAAGAAACTTTTCTTTCATCTAGCAAATAGCAAGAAAATATATGATTTGTTACAACAAGTAAAATCCTATTAACACGCCTAGAATTTTAGTGTATTATTGTTAAAAAGTGATGTTTTTGTGATAGGAGTTTGATGGTGCTCTGGACTCCATATCACTGGCAGCAACATGTGCGTTTAACCGGCGCGGGACTCTGCTAGCAGTAGGCTGCAATGATGGCAGGATCTTTATCTGGGACTTCTTGACTCGAGGAATTGCTAAATCAATATCTGCCCATGTTTATCCTGTTTGCAGTCTAAGCTGGTCAAGAAACTGTAAAAAAGTAAGTTTTCTGTCACGAGATATACTTGTAAACTACATGTTTAAAGATTCTTCTTCAAGTAAAAACTATATTAAACAATTGTAAATTAATGTTGATCTGTATGTGTTATCCAGGAACATATAAGTTTTTTTACATGCAACATTTTTTCTTTATTTGCAGCTATTATCAGCTTCAACAGACCACAATGTGTGTATATGGGATGTTTTGTCCGGGGAATGTGAGCAGCGCTACAGATTTCCAACCCCCATAGTAAGGGTGCAGTTTGATCCAAGAAATGACAGGAGATTTCTTGTGTGCCCTATGAGGCATGCAGCTTTGTTAGTTGATACTGAAGGTGAACATAAAATATTACCTATTGATGATGATGTAAGTATACAGCTTTGGTTTTAGATAACAGAAACAATGTATTTAATAATTTTGCTATATGTGTTATATAATTGTATATATTTGCTAACTCTGGGTTTCCACTGCGACATAACAATATAGTCAAATCTAAACAAACAAGAACTGGATAAGCGAGAAACCTCTATAAGCTATTGTCATTGTCTGGTTGACAACCTTCATAAGCGATAAACTCTGTAAACCTTTGTACGAGAAATATTGCATTCAATTGGCCTCGAGCTTATCAAGGTTCTACTTGGTTGTTAGTAAAAAGTTTTTTAGGCAGTGAAAGTTTACTGATATTCCAACATTGTCTTAACACTTAATTGACCATGTTATAAAAAAGAAAATAAGCTAACTCAATTAGAATTCTTAGTTTATTTTATAACCTTATAAAATTTGAGTTCATTTTAAACTTTGGCTTAATATTCTTTTAGGGAGATATAAATGTGATAGCGTCATTTGACAGAAGGGGTGACTATGTGTACACAGGCAATGCTAAAGGCAAAATATTAATTCTAGACTCTCAGACATTAGCTGTGAAGGCTAGTTTTAAAATAACAGTGGGAACATCTAGTACTACAGGCATTAAAAGTATTGAATTTGCTCGGAGAGGAGAGTGAGTATTTTCATTCTTAATTATTTTATTAAAAGTATAGCTGTCAACCATGTTTCTGTCTGGTCACCGAATTAAAAAAAGATTTAATTTGTAGCCTATGTGTTCTATCAGACTATGGTCTACATCTGTATCAAATTTCATCAAGATCCATTGAGCCATTCTGGAGATACCTTGTATTATAACAATCATCCATCCATCCAAACTTTTGCATTTATATTATTAGTAAGATATTTGGTACAAATCTGAATGGTCATTTATGTTTTGCTAGTGTAAAGTAATTAAAAGTAATTTCTTTTCAGTTGTTTTCTTGTGAATACATCGGACAGGGTGATAAGAGTATATGACACAAACACGGTGATCAAATGTGGTGTGAATGGAGAACCAGAACCTATACAGAAACTCCAGGATCTTGTTAATAAGTTAGTAATTTTATATCTTAACATTAACATTAAAAGCTTAAAGTAATATTAATATGTTGAAATATGGTTTATATATTACTATTATGTTTAATGGATTGGAACAACACAACTACAATGTAGCTTCTGCTTTTGGTGTCTTACATCTTTTGTAAATTCAATATTCCTAATAGTATTAGAGGTATTATATATTTTAAGATTAATACATCTGTAACAATTCAAGAACAACCTGGAAAAAGTGCTGTTTCTCTGGAGATGGGGAGTACATCTGCGCGGGGTCTGCCCGCCAGCATGCGCTCTACATCTGGGAGAAGTCCATCGGTAACTTGGTGAAGATCCTGCACGGCACTAAGGGTGAACTGCTGCTGGATGTTGTCTGGCATCCCGTCAGGCCCATCATAGCCAGCATTAGTGCCGGTTAGTAACCCGTCACTTCTCATAATACCCAATTTTGTTATTTTAAATAAAATATTAAGACAGACTGTAATAACGATGAAAATTAGTTCTTTCTTCTAATTGTAATTTATTTTTTTGTGATTGTCGCCACAAATTTGGTTTGATTGAAACCATACATTGTTATGATAGCAAAGATTAATTGGTGTTGATGTATACAACATTTGTTACAATGGTTATTTAAAGTAAAAATATGTAAGCGTACCACCGACTCGCCTGGCGACTTCATCTTTGTCGAGATGGATTGTGTTATACAATCTGATGGGTTCAATTCGCAGGCGTGGTATCGATCTGGGCGCAGAACCAGGTGGAGAACTGGTCGGCCTTCGCTCCCGACTTCAAGGAGCTGGACGAAAACGTGGAGTACGAGGAGCGCGAGAGTGAATTCGATGTGGAAGATGAGGACAGATCTGTTGACCAGGCGGGGGAGAGCCGAGATGATGAGGAAGTTGAGGTGAGTGACAGCTCTCAGTATAAAGGTTATTGGTAATAATCCACCTCTTTTAGATATTTTTAGTTGAGAATGGGGTAGTTATATTTATTTAGGTTAGAGGTAGTTTGACATTTTTTTCTTGGTTTGTTATTTTTCTTCAATAATACAATATTATATGACCAATCTTAACCATTCGTATTTTCAAATCATTGACTTAAAACATATCTATAATCTATTTGAAAAACTATGTTTGATGTTTTGGTTATGGGAATTTGCAGGTGGATGTAACGACATGTGAGCCAGTGGCGGCCTTCTGCAGTTCTGATGAGGAGGGCGAGGACGAGACCCTGCTCTCATTCCTGCCCATCGCGCCAGAGATTGAGGACCCGGAGGTCAGTAATGTGATATTGTACAGTTAGACAATTCACCACTTACCATACCACCATACTCAGGTCATAAGTTGCAACATGGTCTTTTGGAAAAAAGTTAGGAATATTATATATTTTTTCCCCTGGTGACCCCTAAAATTTGTAGGCGCTCTGTAAATATCAAAAAACTGCTGTAAGGTCAGAGTAACATCTTGGAAGACAAAGTTTGTTTTTTTTTTTGCTAAATTTTAAGTTCGCATGTTTATAATATGTAAATTGTATGCGTTTCATAGGATGGGTGGGCGGCGACCCAGGAGACGGTGACGCCCACCGAGACACCGGAGAAGCTGGAGCCTGCCGCAAAGAGGCCCAAGAGCAAGACATACGACATCTCCCTCAAGATACCTCCTCCTGGTCAGTCACATTTCTAACAATAACTAGAGTCAATTAAAATCCATCCAAAATTTTAAAAATAATTGAGTTTTTTTTCCAATAATTTCGATGTATTAAAAGATAAATAAAAATAAGAATTTGTTTTGTTTTCAGAACAAACGATATCATTCGGCGGCAAAAATAAACAGACGGCGGGCAACAAGAAAGTTCCGGGCAGGCCTCGGAAATAACTATAAGCAAATAAATATTTTAATATAAAGTTTGTGTATTTATTAATCTGTTATTATTTTTCATAACTGCAGACCGCACAAATCGGTTAATAAGACGTGAAATACAAAGTTCTACTTGAGTTGAAAATTCTGTGCCAGAATCGATCACGGCCTTCGACCACTGATGATTGAGGATTAAGGGAAGAAAATGAAAGGAAAGAATTAAGAGAAAACATTTATTTTGCAAAAAGAAATTATCATTCTTTAATAAAATTCGTATTTAGAGTATACTGTAAGTACTTATCGTTTGTTGTATAAATAAATCTCACTTAGAAATTAACAAAAAATAAAAATAATAATACATCATTTTATTCGAGACCAAAAAGACTCTCATTTTTTAACTTTTTCGATCTAGATTTATATAATATACATTGCGTCCAAACTACACGCGCCGCGTCTAACTCACACTAAAAATATAATTGTCTATGTCTATATGTACACCGCGAGCGTGTTGTGTGTGTGTGTGTGTGTGTGTATGTCGCTAGGCGTCCAGCTCGTCCTCGTGCTGGCTGGAGAAGTAACTGACGAGACCGCCGAACTCGCCGCCCTCCTCCCGCGCGCCGGGCCGCGCCCCCGGCCCCGGCCCCGCCGCCGCCTCAGGCTCCGCCTCCACTTTGATGTGCTCCGGCGCCTTAAGGGGTTCTATCTTATTTGCAGTATCTATACTCGAGAAGTCCGGCTTGGTGTCGGGCGGCGAACTCGGCTGACTGTCCCCACCCTCCTCCTCTCTCTCCTCTTCCTCCTCGGTGACTTTGGGCGACTCGTCTTTACGTATTTCCGGTGACATAGGCGCGGGTGAGGGCTGAGGGAGTTGCGGGGGCGGCGTGGGTGCGGCGGGGCGCTGCAGGTCGGCGTAGCGCGGGCCGGGCGGCGCGTGCGAGGCATGCGGCGGGGGCGCTCCGTAGGGCGGGCGCGGCAGTCGCATGTGCTGCAGGAAGGGCTCGGGCTTGTCGGCGAGCGCGGGCAGGTACTGCGCCATGTTGGCGTGGATGCGCTGCAGCGGCGAGGGGTGCTGCGGCCGCGCCTGCAGGTTCATCGCGGCGTCCGGGGCCTGCGCTGCGGGCGGCGCGTATGGCCCGTAGGGACCGTATTGCGGTGCGTAGGGCCCCAGCGGGTATCGCGGTCGTCTATCCTTGTTGTCGGTGTGCTTGATTTTTGGATGATTCCGCAAGGGCTCCGGCGACGGGGGATGCTGAGAGGGGGAACCAGGCGGGGTTCGATACTCCGGTTCGGTTTTTACTTCGGCTTTGATTTGAATGGGCGGTTCGGCGGACACAGGAGGACTGGAGGATGCCCCCGGAGTGAGATTTGGTGGGTGAGGAGACTGGCCGGGGGAGGCGGTGCTCGCTGGCCGGGGGGCGCTTCCGGGTCGAGTCGCCACTGCGGCCTGATCGGGGATGGAATTTGGTGGCAATCCGGCGGCGGAAATTCCGGGAGGTCCGGGGGCGAAGGGGGGTCTGTGAACAGGTAGCGCCGTTGGCCCGATTGGACCATGGGCCTCCGGTCCTTGGGGACCTAATCCGGGTGGCAGACTGTGAGCCATTGCGCTCAAAGGACTCGGACCCGGTCTGTGCGGACTCGAGTCTTCGGGACCGCGAGGTCCGAGCGGATTAGCTCCGGGTGGACCGTGGCCCGATGGACCGTGCATGCCCGGCGGTCCGTGAAGTCTAGATCCAAGAGGGCCGTGAGGGTTTGGACCTAGAGAGCCGTTAGCACCGAGCCCGGGAGGGCCGGGCACCGCGCCGTGAGGATTTATACTCGAATTATGCGGTCCATGAAGACCACGAGGACCCATATGACCGGGACCCATCGGATGCGATCCCGCATGAGGCATGTGAGGACGCGGACCTTGCATATTCGGTGGGATAAGTCCTTGATTCGGTCCTTGATTGTGGGCGCCAGGTGCGCCGTGGGAAGATGCGGGCGAACCGTGTAAGTTTCCTGGAGCCCCCGGTGGCATTGCAGAGGAACCCGGATGGCCGTGGGGTCCAGGGGGACCGGAGCCGTACTGCAGAGGAGAGGAAACCGGTGGTCCATGTGGGCCGTGGTGCGGCGAGGAGCCGGGCGGGCCGTGAGGGCCGTGTGGCGGCGGGCCCTGACGGTGCTGGGGCGCGGGGCCGTGCATGCCGGATGGCGAGGGCGGGTGTCCGGGGTAGGCAGGCGGCATGGCGCGCAGGTGCTGGTAGTAGCCCTGCGGGTACTGAGCGCGGTTCATGCCGGGGTGCAGCTGGTACATCATGTTCTGTGCACGCGGCCCGTAGCCGGACGAGCCGCCCGCGCCGCCAGAGTACATCATTGGACCCCTAGAAATAATGTACAATAAATTAGTTTAACATTTACTCATTGTTATCAATATGTATGTTAGGAGAGAGGATGGATGGTGGTACCTGTACTGGTGATTGAGCATGTGCGGCATGCGCGTGATGAGGCTGGGCTCCTCCGGCGCCGGCTTGAACGGCTGCGGAGAGCCCGCCACAGACAGTGTGCCTGCAACACAGATATATAATAAACATGATGTTCCGAGGAAAAGGTGTAATGTAATTGTGCACAAGTAGTACCTTCCCTGGGCGGCGCCTGCTCGGGGCGGTGCATCAGCTGCATGCGGTCGTCGCCCATCGCAATGCCCCGCAGTTCCGCTCGAACCTACACAACATTCAATTATTATTAGTAATCAAGAACTACATACGATTCATAGCAATATAAGCATTTCCAATTCCTACCTGTAGCCGCGGCGTGGCGGGGAACCTCTCCCTGTAGTCGTGCGGGCCGTGGGGCGGGGGCGGGCCTGAGCCTGGTGTGGGCAGCCGCATGCCCCCCGGCCCCGGCCCCACAGGCACCGGCGCCATGTACTCCACCTTCTCCCTCTTCACTCGCCTGCTCTCCTGCAGGGCGATGCGCGCGAGTTTCTTCTCCTCTCGCTCTTTAGCACGCTGCTCTTTCAATTTCTCCTTCTCTTCTTTCTTCTGTAAACGCTCCATACGGCGCGCCTCCTTTTCCGCTTGTTTCGCCTCCCGCTCCTGCCGTTTTCTATCTCTCTCCGCCTGAAGAATACATTGGGGTTGTAATTTCAAAGATATTACAAAATAAAAGTATTGTATAATAGTACATCATTATTTCTATTTAAATATTAAAGTTACTTACTTGATTGGGTCTCATTGGCATTTCTCCAGTTTCTCTTAGATCTGTGGAAATATTCACGTTTAAAATTGATTAAAAAAAAAACATTTTTCAAGACATGTATTTGATTATTTTGTACACGGTGGTACCTTTAATTTTGACGCCGACCAGCTTGGCGAGTGCATCATCGCTCGAGGGCGAGGATTTGTTGACCCCGCCCCCGCCCCCGCCGCCGCGGCCCCGCCCACCGCGAGGTCCTCTGCGAGACACATCATGATAATAATTACATTTTGACTGATACGCACTTTCAACCGACTCACAATAGAACGATTGTATATATACCTGCTTCCGCGACCACCTCCCCGGCCGCCCCGCCCTCGCATCGGACGAGCCGCGAGATCCGCCTGCTGGGCTTCTGACATAAAACACATTTTTGATAATATCTATAATGCAAACGGTCGATACAAAACTGCTGAGCCTTATTTTAAGACTTGAAGATTAGTCTAATATTACAATGTGATGTTGTAGCATGCAGCCACCACTCACCCAGCAGATGTTGGTGCAGCTGCTCCGTCTTCTCGCGAGTGACATGCTCGGGCAGCTTCTCTAGCGGCACGACCGCAGTCTTGGTGACGAGGTCGCAGAGCGCGCGCCGGCGCTGCTCCTCCCCCGCGCGGTCCTCGCCCACCTCGCCCTCCTCCCCGCCCTCGCCCCGCCGCCGCTTGGCGCGCTCCGAGCCCGAGGAGGAGTTGTCCCACTCGTCGGTGACGCGGAACTCGTCCGAGCTGTCCGTCATGTGCTTGCCCGACGACTTGTGCATCTCCTGTATACGTCACGTCACACCGCAACATTACAATACCTCACAATATGCACAAACTGAGGGGACCAGACTACCCTACGGGTTGACTTCACACATATCTTTGAATTTCTTCTCAGATATGTGCACGTTACATCACGATGTTTTCCTTCACCGTAAGAACATTTACATTCTATTTAATTTATCATTATTGTGAAATTTAGAAATGGATCACTTAAAAAAAAAAAAATTCCGAAAAAAATCTTAAGAACAGGTTTCTGTCCACTTCTTAATCTTAACTTTAACACCATATAAAAATAGTAAAATATAAATGAAATGTAACAAAGACTGACATCTTCCGACTCTGTGTTGGGCATCTCCGTGTAGTTGATCTTGCGCTGTCGCGTGCGATGTTTGGGCGACCAGTCGTTGGGTCCAGGTCCATCGCTGAGGCCGCCGTACGTGACGCGTGCGCGCACCACGTTGCCCGCAGCGTCGTACTGAGTCAGCTTCGACCGACGACCATCACCTCGCTTGCGGGACTTCGCCCTGATGACACATACAAATATAATATAATAATATTATCTTGTCATAATTCAAATCAAAAAACTCCAAAGAATACATTAAAATAACACATCGCAATAAATATTTGAAGCATTTAGTTATTACTTTTTGGGCAATTCCTTAGTATCAGCTGATTCACTGGAGCTATCCTCGAAAAGGCCTTTCTTCTTTTTCTTCACTTCCGGCGAAGAATCTTCTAACTTTGTTCGTTCTGGATTAAAAAAAAAATAACGTAACCAAACATTAAATTTCAACATAGATTTAAAAATGTTTAGCGAATGACATTTAGTTACCTTTCTTGTCAGGTCTTCCCGGGCGTATGATGGGCAACGAGTCAGAAGACCTGGAATCTCGTTCAGCTGATGATGACATGTCTTCAGATGACGATTCCATGCTAGAAACGTTTCTAACATAAATTTATTAATATGATAAATATTGTACAAAAAAGAGAAAATAAATTTTCAACATAAGTTAATAAAAGAATGCAATTAAAACTTTTAATTACGCAACAAGAAACAATTGACAACTAAATGTTTATCAAAATCGAAGTAAAAAAAATATAAAATGTATGTTGCCAGGAAGTTTGTTCATTTTTCTACATAACCTCTTTTGTCTATTTAATTGTTCTATATCACTTTGTATGTGTCAAATAGTTGGCAACGTAACTTTCACCTATCAAAAAGTTTGGTATAAAAAATATGTTACATCAGTTTTTCAATAAGAAGTTTGACAACATGTTGTAATGAAAACGCGAGGTTATAGTTACCCAGTATCTTTGAAGTCTTCATCAGTCTCGTCGTCGTCCTCCGAGGGCACGTCAAGAGAATTCAACTTGCGCGGTTTGCGACGCCGTTTCTTCTTCTGCTTCTTCTGGCTCCCCTCCCCTACCTCCCCCACCTCACCCTGTTAATATATAGTCAATTATAAAGAAGGAAAGGACAAAATCGCTTCTCTCCATGCTAGATTATGATATAAACTACGCATTTGTGATACGTTTCAAATAAAAATGTGCAATTTGTCAACTATCGCTTGAAAAGTAAGGTTTATTAAAAGCTAGCTGTCGTCCGCGCGCAACTAAAAAAAAACTTGATTAATAGTTTATCTGTGCCAAATTTCATCGAGATACTTTAATTTTTTATGGAGATATCATCTAACAAACATAAGTAAATAAACTTTATATCTAAAAATAATATACCGTTTTTAAAATGATACAATCACGTCATAATATTGCTCGGAGTCATCCACATTTGTATTTGGAACGTGTAGTTGTCTCTGACACTATAAAGAGATTAAAACCTGATCTCTGGCTTCTCTTTCCGCTTTCATCTTCTCCTCCTCTGCCGCTTCTATGATGGTGGAGATGTCCTTCCCTCTGCCCTGGTTGCCTGCGCTCGTCGTTGGCTCAACGTATTCCTCCTACGACCAATACAAATGTTCAAGTGTTATTGAATTTCAATCGAACAATTTAAGATATTTTTTTTTTTAAATAAGTTCGTTATTATATTAAAAAAGGATTTCCGTGAGAATGTCATCTACATTATTTCAGTACTAACTTTTGACTAAAGGTTCATCCGAAATCGTTCGAACACTTCGCCTTCGTTAGCAACCTACAATAAAGTATGAACATGGCAGAACTCACAACTCTGTAAGGATGCCAGGTATTTTAAAATAATTCCTGAACTGATAGTACTACCTTGATGGCGGAGCTGATGAGTCGGTCGTACTCCTGGGCACGGTAGCTGACGGGCAGCTGGCGACGTGCGCGCAGCCGGTACACCGCGCCCGAAGATGATGAAGACGACCAGTCGCTGCCGCTGCCACTGCCATCTATATTCAAATAACCGAAACAATATTCATATATTTTTTATATTGGTAAGTATAGATCAACAAATTTATCTGACCTGTGGGTACAAGTCAAACTTTTTAACAGCTCACTAGTGCCCCCAATGTCAATATCCAAAAACTTTCCCAAGATTCTTAGCATATTGTGGTTCTTTTGTTTTGTCATTTTCTTTGCCTACGTAAGTTTTATATTTCTAGACACAGGGACATGTACATATGTTCCGCCATATTGAAAATCGCAGTAACTTTTCTGGCAAGGAAACTGAATCGGATAATACTAACCGGATTTATCATCTGACTTGTGGTCGAGTTCTGGTTTGTCAGGTTCCTGCTCAGAGTCGGAGTGTGGGTGTTCCGCGCGCCGACGCTCGCGCTCCTCCGCCACCGCAACCACCAGCTGGTCATACTTCACCAGTTCTTCTTCCAGCGCTGATATTAATTTCTCCTGAAAATATTCAGAAAACATTGCATTTTGTCACCTTCATATTACTGGTTTGAATGAGAAAACCCATTCTTTCTTATCCCGGTAAAGTAGCACAGGGCCGGCGTTAAGGTATGGCGCGGTTGGGCGACCGCCCAGGGCGACAAAAGGACACCACACAGGTCTGCGAACTATACATTATCACATAATCCTGTTACCCCACCCCCAGTATGGATAAAAAGAGGGTGCCGTAGAAATCAATTTCACCACATTAGTGGAGTTAAATCTGTACTGTGTAGGCAAGCGGGTGGTGTCCACAATGGGTCGATAATATAAAATTTACTTACGTGGTTGCACGGAGGACAGAACCAGTCCCCCTCGGGCACCAGCAACAGCACGGGCGCGAGGCAGCTGGCGTGGTAGCCGGCGTCGCAGCGGTCGCATAGCAGGATCCACTCCGGCTGCTCGCCACTGCCGCACCGCTTGCAGAAACCCTCGTCCTTGCCTGACCACACACAGCACACGAAACACTTTTTAAAAATTATTATATTTCAAATATTACTTGTCGTCGGAAATTAAAAAAATGTGTTCTTCGAGACTATATTCTATATCAGTCCAAAATGATAGAGAACTTACCTTCTTGTAGTGTGCGCGCTAATTTGAGAGGCGCGGTGGGCTCCCCGCTCTCTAAGTCCGACTCTGGTGAGAACTCGTGATCAGATCTGGGAGCCTCCACTGGACAAAAAACGAATAGTTTCAACATTAATTACTCTTATAGACACTTAATAATGTTAATTTGGTCCAAACTTACATTCCGGTTCTTCGTGATGTTCAAACAGTGGTTCGTCAGAGTCGGAGTCTGGCTCGGGGCCGGTGGAGTCAGAGCGCCAGGCGGCTGACCGCCGCGCCCGGGCTTCGCCCTCAGAGCTGCTGCCGCTCGCCTGCCATTCCTCCTCTTCCTCCTTGTTCTGTATCACAAATCAACACATATACTAAGATACAAATAAGAATGACCTTGATCTAACAAAAAATTCTGGTTAATTACAGATTTTGGTAATAAATTAGTAATTATTTTTTTTTTTTAATATTTTAGTGACAGAATACTCGTCCAACACTGAAATCAACTAAACCTAGGAATATCAAATTCCATACAATGATGGCCACATCAATTTTATACTATTTCCAGTTACTTGTAATCTTTTTAAAAAACAATAAAAACTATGTGAAAAAAGGTTTTATCAGAAATATTTTGTGTTTTATGAGTTTAAGCAAAATGTCCAATTTGTGGATAAGTCTTGAAATGCTTGTTAAATGAAATTAACTTACTTTCTTCTTATGTATCATCTTAAGCTCCCTCAATGTGACCTCCTCAAGATGCCTCCTGTCCGCTTCCTCTTTTATCTTCATCTGTGCTATCCGCCTTGACTGTCTCACTGGAGTGTCATTGTCTGTCACATTTGTACTTGCTGCTGTAGTCTTTTCTTTTTCCTTCGCCTTAGGCTTCTTCTTTAATACTTTCTTTGCCGATTTTTTACCTTAAAAATTATAAAATAATAGCCATATAACTTGCCTTATAAAATTTAAATTAAATTTACAATATTGGCTTTCAAATATTATGAATAAATGTTTGCATTCAATTTTACAATCAATTTAAGCAGTATTATTAAAAAGTAAAAAAAAAATATATATTTTAATTACCTAAACTATACAATGTTTCATCTTCTGATTCACTGGAACATTTTTCCAATATTTTAGCTTCAATTTTTTTTCTGAAAATAAAAATTGCATGCTATACTGTGAAATATACAATAAACTAGGTGTCGCCCGCGACTCCGTCCGCGCGGAATTAAAAAAACTTAAGCAGCAGCAATAAGCAGCCTTTGTGTTCTTCTAGACTATGTCCTACATCTATGCCAAATTTCAGCGATATCTATGCAGTTCTACCTTCAAACATCCATCCATCCATCTAAATATTCGCATTTATAATATTAGTAAGAAGTTAGACATAATTAATAAAGTTATTAGTACCTTGATTTGGTGACAATCTTTTTTGGTTTGAATTTCAATCTCTTTCCGCTCTTAATGGGTTCTTCATCTTCACTATCGCTTTGAGATTCAGATCTGGTTTTGTCATTCATTGATTTATTTAACAAACTTCTCTTGATTGCTTTACTTGCCTTATTATCACTTACATCTACTTTATCATAATCCTTACTTATCTCACTAATTTCTATTTTGTTTTGAAGAAATTTTTTACCTTTTAATTTACCCTTATTAGCTTTTATTTTCTTTCTATTTATTATTGATTCTTTGTCGTTTTCTGTATTACCGTCATTGTTTTCGATATTCTCGTCTTTTATATTATCTATGGTTTCGCTTTTGGAATGTGAGACATCATCTGACTCGGGTGTGGATTCTAAGCGTATTTTTTTGGGCGGCAAAGTATCCTCAACTTTAGTTTCTTCCCCTTCGACGTTCCCACTTTCTGCATTTTCTGAAGCATTACCGTCATGATCTGACGATACGCTACTTTTTCTTTTTTCTATAATACTAGATTTACTATTCCTAGGACTTTCAGGTTCAGATATTGAGTTAACTATTTCTTTGTTATTCCTTAATGTTCTCATTCCTTCCCTTTTTTTAACTTTCGTGATGATTTTTTTCATTTTGTTTTTACCTGAGCTTTCACAATCTGTACTTTTTTCGTGAACACTGCTATCGCTCCTTAATTCTCTTTGACTACTTGTCGCTATTGAGTTTGAACCATTTGACTTATCCAAATTTCTTACACAATGTTTTTTAGAATCAGATTTTGATCCATCTGTATTATCATTTGATTGTTTTCTTAAAGATCTTTTCGTAACTGATGATAAACTATATTTTAATTTAGCACTTTTATTTAATTTAACCCTACTATTAGATTTTGGAACATTATTTGCATGCTCTCCATTTAAAACTTCCTCGCTTGGATTGTCTACATCTGAATTTTCTTCCAATTCAGTATTGTCCTCTTGTTCTATAGCTTCTGGGTTGCCGGTATCATTCTCACATCCCCAACCATCACCATAAATGAACATTACTGGTTCAGATATCTCTTCACCAATAAAGTAGGAACTTTCACAATCCTCTCCGTTACCTTCCCCTTTTATAATCATTACAGGCTCCTCAATTTCTTCACTAACCTCTTCACCAACTTCTTGTTCTTTAGTTTCTTCTTTATCTGTATCTTTTTCAGAAATATTTGATTCTGTTTGTTCTTCCTCCTTTTTACTATCAGGTTCATTAGTTATTGTCATATCGTCTTTTTTATCTTCCACTTTATCTACATTATTCGTTATTAAATTATTTTCTTCAATTGTTTCCTTAACAATATCTTTTGGGGCATCATCTTTAGGGGCATCATCTTTAGTAGTTTCTGGTTCTTCTTCTTTACTTGTAATATCATCTTTGCATTTCTCCACTTTAGGCTCATCACTTTCATTACCAGATTCAGATTCAGGACTTAGGAATTCTTCCTCATTTTCCTCAACTTCTGATTTATTGACCTGAAAAACATAAATTTTAATTTTCATTCTGCAGGACTGCAACCGATAAAAATTCAGTTTTAAACAACACAATATGAACTAGAATTATGTGTCATAATGCCATATTTCTAAGATCGTCAAATTGCAGGTTCTATTTACAAAATTAAATAAAAACTTTCTTTTTTTTTACCCTGATAGAAATAAAAATATTACCTCAACTTGAGCTGGAACATCAACACTACTGGAATCTTCATTTACCACTGGCTGACACACCTGCTCACCACTTTTCAATTGACTTATAATTTTGACAAATTCTTCTCTATTGCTGAAAGATGAAATAACATAGAATATGTACTGCATACATTTTTACCTAACTGAATTGGTAGTATTTACATAAGTGAATTTTGTTATAACCTGTGGCCCAAACCATTGAACCGGTTTTGATAAGTGACATAAACATGTAATAATATTTGTTTTTTCCAAAGTCAATCTTACTGACTAATTTACCTTACCAATGAAATGAGATGAAGAAATGAGTACTATTTATACAGGCAAGATAGAAAACAAGATTTTAATAGCAGAATATATGTAATTTAAAAAGTAATCTATTTTACTATAACATTGTATGCAACAGCTATCTTCCTTCGGCAATTACATTATCAACGAGACATTGAGTTTTTCTATGTAATTCATATGTATTTTCTCATATTTATAATACAGTTGAATCATGATAAGAAAGAATCCAAAGGATTGGAATATTTGTCAATAGAGGTTTCACTCTAACTTGATTTTCTTGCTTATGAAGGCTATTTGTTAGGACCAGACAATGACTTTAACTAATAAATGTTTCTTACTTAGCCAGGTTTGACTGTATTATTGTAAAAAGAAATTTATATCACTATTTCTGAGAAAAACTGGGGTCATAGTTATGTTAAATTTTGACAATGCAAACTGAGCATACATATTGAATATTTTAAATATTACACTGTACTTTCACTGTCAAAAACTAGTTAGATATATTGTTATCTCTATTATTTTAAAGATAATGAAAGAGGCATAAGACAAGTCACTGTAGTGGAATTCTCTGGTGTAGTTACCTAGCAATTAATTGCCATGTCTCCTCATCCTGATCTTCTTTGTACATGCACAGGTTGGCTTCATGGTCTATTTGCAGCCAGTAAACACAACCATATTTATCCCTTCCAATGGGATCTAATCTCAGCTCTTTACTTGATAATGCATTGACAGCATTCTTAAACTTCGGATGACATGTGAACTGGTATTCAAGGAGTAACTGGAAATTAATAAAAAAATTCTTGAGAAAAAAAACAAATCATAGTTTTGAAAAAGCATGACAAAATAGCAAAATTCATGAATAGAAAGTTTGTTTATGAGTTTATAGAAAAATGTCAAATTATTATGACATTATTTTCCATTTAAAAAACCTTATCTAATCTAATTATCTATAAACATATTTTTTTGTTCATTACACATATCTAATAACATCCTTGTTTAATATACAGTTTTAAAAAAACTTTAACTAAACTAAAATATGTGAACTTAATTTACCTTCAAAATTCTCAACTTGACCTGAGTGCTAGCTTTCTTGTAAGAAAATCTCTCAATTTCCCAAGCTTCCTGGTGATATCTTTGTTGATGACAAAACTTTATGAGAGCCCTTTCCCAACGGTTAACTTGAATAGACTTTAGTGCTCTTCGTAACAACCTTACATGCAACTCCTTTAACGGATCTAACACTAAAACAAAAAACTTGCTTACATGTTTGTTTATATTTAACTCGATATTATGATATCCTCTCCATACCTTCTTGTGTGTTCTCTATTAGTTCTTGCAATTTGGCTATCGTAGGTATCTCCAAACCGTACAGTTTACCGAAAACTTTCAAAAACGAGTAAATAACAGCGAAATTGGGATCAGTCGTACATGAAATTTCTCCATCAGACGCCATCGTCGACAGTTATTATGCTCATTTACTAAACATCTCTGAATTATAGCAACTACCGGTACGAGATTGTCACACTTAAATCTATTGGAAATCTATAAAACATGTACATTATTCACGAAAATAGCTTCATCCTCAATTAAACTCAATGCTTCTATCCTTATTTTCTAAAATAATAAAATAAAACTCGATGACAGCCATCGCACCATAACCAAATTTGTAAGTTTTGGAGGCATTATTTTTGTCAAAGGTATTTTATGAACACTAAATAATTTATCGCATAGCATTCGTACTGTTGAGTAATGTGATCACAATTTTGTCTAAAGTCATCTAAGCCATTGTGATAAACTTTTGTTGTGGTTTTCTTCTAATTTTGTCCTTGGGTGAAAAAAAGTAACTTTCCGAAGTAACTAACAGTTGATATTTTTTATAATTCTTGTAAATTACGAAAGAGATCTGGTAAAAATATGAAGAAGTAGTTTTCTTCAATAATTCAAGATCTTAAAATAACATTTTTAATTTCACCAGTCAACACTGACATTGCATCTGTCACACACGTAGCAGAAAACCCCGAAGACGAGTGTGTGTTTGATTTCGTTTACTTTTTAATTGTGTGACTGCATTGTCTTATACTGTTAGAATATTACTTTTATACCAACCAATATGTCTTCAGTGTGTTGTGGAACCAAAAAACAGAAATTAAACAACTCGTATAGTAATAATGTTGAAAGACCTATAAATGGTTACCATGAGACTGTAGCAATTCCTGATATGTGTTACTTTTGTTTCGATGTTTTGTATTGTCAACTGCATAGTATGGACCCGCCACAAACGCCAAATTTCACTAATGAGGCCTAGTAAGTATCTATTACAATTTAACCTAAGAGTTAAATTGAGCTACACAAAAAATACAATTAGTTCTTTTTTCACAGAAGTCTTTTTATATCGAGTAGTTGTCATTCGAATTCTAACAAACTTTTCTAATGAGTTTATGTCATGACTATATAAATTTCGTGTATCTGTTTTAAAATATACCTACTAATGTTAAGTATAATAATAGGTTAGTCAGTTAAACAAAGGATGATTACTGACATTGATACTTTTGTTTTTTTTGTACAAGTGCTATGTTAAAGTAATTACAACTCTTTATACTAGAAAAATATCTGATTGTATACTATACATTCAGATTAAATTAATACTACATAGCTCTATTATATTGACACAACAAATGATTTTCTTATTGATAATCATCTATGAAAGTAAAAAAAACTGAGTGAGTTTCACACATTTTATGAAAAGTGGTATTTTAAATTAAAATAGATACAAGCATATAATAAATGATAAAAACTTCTTATGTATTTTATACAGCTATTCATACTTAATGCACGGCATTGATATGAGTACCAAATATGAATGGGTGGCTCATTGAATTATTTTCATACATATATTAAGGCTAAGTGCTGTAAGCTCTTGAAGACTCTTAACATACTTCTTTTTCAAGTGGTTTGACACTGATATTTCTACAATATAAATAGCTTTAAAAAATCTTTTTAATCATAAATTCCTGCATATTATAGTAAATATACTCACTTTAATACATCAAAAATCTAAGTCAATATAAAAATCCTTATGATTTATATTTGTATCTGAAATCTTGCTTCCAGTCCTTTGTTCGTAACATGGAAAATTGGCAAGGAGCACCGTCTTCGGGGTTGCATTGGCACATTTAATGCAATGCATTTACATTCGGGTGAGTGGACTCTGTGTGATTAAAAATACAATATTTTGTATATAGATCTTCTCAGTCAATGGATAGTAAGTGATAAATGCCCTTTGTTGTCAATAATACTAAAGTTTTTGTGTCTCACAGAAGTCTTTTTGTTGGAAAAAATATATTATGTGGTAAACTTGAATGGAAAGATGGTGATAGTGAATGAGTATTGTTGAATGTGTAAAAGCTGTTACTATATTCTCAAAAGTAGAGTTATTAAGGTCTAATTTTAAACCGAGTCTCAAATGTAACATCTTACTAATATTATTAATGCAAATGTTTAGATGGATAGATAGATAGATGGATGGATGGATGTTTGTTTCAAGGTATCTCCGGAACATCTGAACAGATCTAGCTGAAATTTGGCATAGATGTAGAACATAGTCTGGAAGAACACATAGGCTACTTATTTAGATTTTTAATTCCGCGCGGGCAGAGTGGAGGGCGACGGCTAGTAATAATATACAATTGAAAGCCTATTGCCATCTGCTTATGTAATAATCACATAACTCTTTGTTGCAAATATAATATTGGAATTTTGACTGTAGCCATCTAAGCAATTTTTAGAATTTAATAGCAATTATCTTTTATGAATTAAGGGGTAAATTATACATTCTGGGATTACAAAGGCAGCAGGAGTATCAACAGTTTATCTGGTAACCATGTCACAAGGATATGGATTCTCACAGTTTCATAGTGTACAGAGAAATGTGGATTATGGCCTAACTATGGTGTAATACATCAATTGCAGTGCTGAATAAAGGCGATTTATATTTAGAATAATGTTCTCGTCACTTTGTATTATGTGGTCTGGAAGATTCTATGGTTTTAGTTAGCGCAATGGCACTGTAAATAAAACGGATGGAGGAATACTGGCATTATCCAGGTGCATAGTAATTCTTCAATGTGGGACTGTAAGTGTTACTTAGACTTAGCATTAGATTCTGAATAAGGTAAAAATAATTTGATAAAGTAAAGCTTTCACTTTGGTTTATTGAGTTTCCATAATAGAAAAAAGTCGTATTTTTCATGATTGTGTTTTTTCGCTAATTATTAAATCATGTCGAGAAATAAACATATTTCCGAATTATATAAATCGACCTTTTCTCCTCTTGATATTGATATAATCCAAAAATATGGCTTTGTTTATTATTGATGAGAAAATTTGCATGTTCTAATAAATTCAGACGTGGTTGGTACGCAGCCAAGACGCTGTAACTCTATGTATTATTTGTGCCATGCTAAACTTTTAAGATATAAATCGTCTACCTAAAGATTAGAAAAATTCTTGCTATTTTCTATTTAAATGTAATAAATTTTGCTATGAAAAGTTTATATAAAGATGTAATCGTTATTATTTTAAAAGTATTGATTTTACGCATGACTGGCCGAAAATTCGCAAACCTCAGACAAGGTCGCGGTAAGTCGATCATAAAATAATTAAGCCGGTCTCAGATGCAAGTCACTGGCAGGACGTTTCAACTTAACTGATTTGTTTTTATGTCATTAATAAAAAAAATTAATGAAACTGTATTGTTTTCAACTATTCTTTATGTATACAAGAGAAGTGTCTTCTATTTGAAGTTTGTAAATAAAAATCAGGCAAATCAATTAGTTTGATAGATTTAGGAACCGCGTCATGTCAAGTTTAAATAATATAACGACGAAATATTTTGCTTAAACACTAGAAAAAATGTAAGATGTTCAAATTAACATGTACGGTTGTATGTGTAAGTTGAGGCGCATTGTTGTTTACCACCGTGCACACTAACGCCGAAATCCAAACTAACTTCAAATCTATGTTTTAACCAATCAAATCAAATAAAAAAAACCAACTAAACAAATTTTATAAAATCATCCTCCTCAGGTCTTCGGGAGTACGCAATAACGAGTGCGTTAAAGGATTCGCGCTTCACGCCCATCACGCGGGAGGAGGTGCCGCGGCTGTCGGTGTCAGTCTCCATCCTCCAGCACTTCGAGGAGGCCGAACACTACCTGGACTGGAAGCTGGGCAAGCACGGCATACGCATCGAGTTTGTCAGCGAGCGCGGCACCAAGCGCACAGCCACATACCTACCTCAAGTTGCCACAGAGCAAGGTATGGGAACCTCCACCTCCTCCATACTCATCTAAGTGTATCATGGAACATGTCAATTGACATCAATTATCAGAACGAATAATACAGAAATTTATTTAAATATTTGCAGGTTGGGACCAAATACAGACAATCGACTCGCTCCTAAGAAAGGGGGGTTACAAGGCGGCGATCACGGCCGACTTGCGGCGCAGCATTAAGCTGACGCGCTACCAGTCGGAGGAGGTGTCTGCCACTTACGGCGACTACATCAGCCAGCGCTGCTAGCACCCCGCCACCGGGGGGCGCCCCTACCCCGCGCCCCGCACAGACAAGCAATTGTTTACAACTGCTAGTGCAAGTTACAAATATTGTGTTAATAATAATTTAGTCTCTAAGTGTACAACATGTGTCGATCAGACGGGCCGATGTGAACACACCGATACGTTCAGCGCGCTCAAAAGTACAAGAAGTCAGAATTATGCTCAAAGTGGTTCCGGCATCGACGGGAGCGGCTTGTGTTTTGTCAATATCATGTAATATTAAGCTAATATCACTGCCAACGACATTCCTTAAAGGAAGAATTGAGGTGCCATCGAACCGATTCGCTACAGTCTCCAGGGGTATGTAATGTTTCGCTTAAAACGACATCTGCCTTGGTCCATACGATTATCGACTTTACGATTCGCAATTAAGTATCAATATTGTCAGTGCATTTGCAGTTCTGTTATATTTTTGTGTATGCCAGTGGCGAATTTGTTTTGGTTACGATATATTCACCCGTGTGAATCATGCTTAAAGTAAGGAATTATGTTTCACAGAACAAAATGAATCAAATTGTTTTATGATTTTACTTGTGAATAAATGCAATTGTATGGTACAAATGGCAGGTGTTTGTTTATGTTGAAATTAAATTTGAAGTATATTTCCATCCATTTACTCAATTGAACAGAGTTTATTAATATAGTGAATTTATTTTTATTTGAATTCCTGAATATTGGTTGTAGAGCAAAGAGTTTTATACAAAAGAACCATTTTTTAGGTTCCTTGAAATATTATATAGTTGAAAATATTTGCGTGAATACATTTTTAATTAAAGGAAATGTTAAAAGATTTTGTATCGTCTTTCCTAATTTTGATGTGAATTCACTTTGAACAGAGTTTTGACTTGACTTTTTTGGTTCTATGTTTTAATGTGCGTATCACAATAAAATGTAAAATTCTGTAGTTTTATGGTGTGCATCTCCATTTTTGAATGAACAAACAATCTACGAAAATTAAATTGTTCCTTTTTCTATGTTAATATATTTGTGTCAATTGTCTTTAATATTATGAGGATGTGATTAGTTTATATTTTTTAAAATTAAAAAAAATGTAAATCCTATTAGACTGACTTGGTATATCGTATTATTTGTGTGTTCATTCTTTATGTTTTCGATATATTAGTAACAATTGTGATACGCACATAAAATTATTGCAAAACATATTATAAATATGACTATAATATTTACAGCAGCTTTTTAAATTGTGTTAATGTTGCTTGTTTTAAAATATTTTTAAAATATCAAATTGGATAGTGACAATATTATGTTGTTGATTGGTGTTGGATCATTATTTTGCAGATAAACTTTGTGCACAACCACTGGACTGTACAGGGTGATCTTTTATCATGTACCATAATAATAATTTTAAAAAATTGAACTGTTTTAACATGTTTTCATATGTTTTAAGGATATGAATATAATTAGATCTTTAGGATTTTTTTCAAAAAAGAATTCACTCAAGGCATAGATTATAAATAGATAATAAACAATTGGTTAGTGAAAAAATTTGTATTTTTTTTTCTGGCGTATGTTATTCAGACCAAAGGACCTACGTTGGTGTCCTGGTTTCAACATAGCAGATCTTTTTCAGGTTTTATAATTTAGCTATTCATAGTACTTATTCTTGTGATAACAATAATTGGTGTAGAAATAATTATGTAAGCTATAGAATTTAAAGGAAAATAATAAAAAAAATTAAATAATCTTAAAAACCAAAAAAATTCCTTCCTTATCATAGATAAGTCTTGTTTAAATAAAAAAGCATTTTAGCATTATTTGTCGTAACATGATTGTGTTTTTTTATTCATAAAATATACATAAGGGGAACACTTAACAATTTCATTAACTAGATAATTTTTAATGTCAAATATATAAAGTTCTGCTATATTGAATAATATCATATGCCCTATTAGAAAGCTAGGATTTTAAACTAGATATATTCAAGTAAATTGTATTTGTATGTAAAAAAAGACCAGCGGTTTGTTCATGACGATAATTATTCTAAGGTTGGTATTAGAGCAGAGGTTGTCAACTTTTAATGTGTGCTTACTATTCATATATTTTCCAATCTCTGATTCAAATTACTGATCATTGTAGGTTGACTACCACTGCATTAGAACGTTTAATAAATGAAGAACATAAAATAAAAATTACATTTTTCAATTAAATCCTTCTTAGAGAAAAAATATAAACCTATAAGATTATATTTAATTAAAGCATAATATATTATTATTGAAACAGATAATTGTCTGAATTTTCTTGTATATCTTAATAATTTATGAACCGGAAAATGAGTGATTTATTTCAAAATGTAGATAAATTTATCTACTTTCAGAGTTTCTCAAATTGTTTCTCCTATTTCATGTCTTTAAAACTTTAAACAATGAATATTTTCTGGTATGCAAATAAACAAACAATGTCTAAGGAGAGCCGTATTTTTAATTGATAGGTGCTATTTGTACTTTAAAAAATACATAAAAATAATCAAAATCTATAAATTAATATTTACCAAAAAATGTTTTCTAAATCTCTCCTCATAATAAAGGGTCTAGAACATGACTACAATAATTAAAATTTTTGTTGGATACAGAATAAAAAAAATAAATGAATAATTCATCACATAGAGTAATGCAATTTTATCTTGACGCACAACATTAGTTAAATATTTAGTTATTCCTAACTTTTTTTAATATGTCAATTTGTCGCAAAATTGTAAAAACGAAAACAACAATACCATAAAATTTTAATAGCACATTTCTTATTAATTCAATTACCGTCTTTTTGTGAAAATATTTGATATCACTTAACACTATGTGTTAAATCAAATCACTTGTCCTTCCTTTAAATTAATAACTGAACAATAATTTATGTCATTTGAACTTTTTAAATTACCGTCATCGTATTTGAAGATAGGTCAAGCATTGTTGGTATTGGAGAATGGGGCAGGTTTTTGAAATCTCTATAATATTGCACTAACAAATGTCATTAGATTTAAGGGGTGGTTTTGCATGTGTTCAAAACTTAGTAGTTAAATATATTTCATCTGATTACAGTTGTGTGTATTAGTTGTTCGTTTTTTTGTAATTCGTAAATATAAATAAAAGAACTAATAATATAGGTTATACTAAATATTTATGTCTTTTACTTTTAATATCCAAAAGCCATAGTGTGTTTCTCTGAATCACATCCAGAGGCATATGAATAGTGTAACACAGCACTATCCCATTTAAAGGTAAGGTATTAAAAGATAAATTCGGTTTAAAACTATCTCTATTTACATATATAACATCACACTATATAACTACTGAAAATACTAAAACATCCCTTTTTCTTCCATGACCTTTTTTTCAATTTCCATTAGTTTTGTCTTTAGTGTAAATGTATTTTTCATTTCAAAATAAGTTAATATAGAGGATGCTACCATTTGTATTGCTACCATGTATGTTAAAGTTGGATTGAAAGGTCTAGTTTTAATCCTCAAAAAGTTAAACATGGTTTTCGGACCTTCTCTAAGGTCTGGCACTCGGTAGGTGCCATATCTATTGGCAAGCTGGAAAAAAATATTACATTACTATTGTCTTAGACTTTAGCTGGATATTTCTGTACACAGTCAATATGTGTTCCCCTTAGTGTAGATTTACTTTCAGAAATCCACACTAAGAGACTGTTTTGTGACAGTATGACAGACCTTATTTTTTACTCACCATAAGAGTACATGTTGGTCCAAGCACCAGAGGATATGCAGTTCCTAGTACTACTTGTACCAAACCAGATCGAACCTCATAACAGATTGGACATGTATCTAACTTCATTAGTAACATATCCGTTGATACAATCTGTTGAACAAATTTGTTGGATAAAATTTTAGAATAGGCATTTAATATTTTAACTCCTTAATATAGCATTGGTTAAAATATCAGTTAAGGTAACTAAAACCTTAGATAATACTGACCCCCATAAACTATCTTGTAAAAAAATACAATATCAAAACTATGCACTTGATTATTACATCTGAGTATTTTCAGTGTCTTTGATGAAATAACTAGTTTTGACTGTACTTGATAGTAAATAAAATAATCATGAAAAAGAATCGCATTTCATCATGGATTAGTACATACATGCCTGTGGAACAAAGCTGTCAGTATTCCTGGCAGAACAGTTACAGGTATCACAGATGCAAAATATCCATAGGTACCAAGCTTCAACTTATGTCGGAAGTGGTTGTTTATTAAAAGACCGCATATGCTGTTTATTCCTCCAAGAATAGCTGGCGAGTATCTTAGCGCCCATCTGAAAAACCAATTTTATCACTTTAGTAATAGTTTCTGCATCAAAACGTTAGTGCGTATTTTGAGTGTATGTCACTTTAATTATCTGTAATTAAGTAGTGCCTTAAATTATTATATATCTTAGCCTGGATAATAGGTAACTTTTAAATACATTGTCCAGTTTTCTCCAAAATATATATTTTTTGATGATTTGACAATTTTATTTCCAGCTCATTTAATGATTATACAAAAAAAAATAATATACTTACGTATCTGAAAAGGTGTTCCAATTGCTTACTATATCCCAAATATATGTAGTAGCTTCTATTTCGCTCAGAACCACTGCATCTTCTGGAATATCCTTCGATTTTATCAAAGCCATTTTGGGAACTGACTGTTCTCAAAGATCTATAAGATTATATAGGCTAAAGTCAGTACTACAATTTCATTTTAATTTATAAAAACGAAAGATATTCGATAGACCGACATAACCTCAATTTATTTATGTTTTCAGTTGACAATTTCAACTTTCGTACGTTTCGTGACATTGACATTACAAACTATATTGCCATAATATATGCAAGACATATTTTGGTAATAATTTTGAACATTTTATACCGTATTTAGTAAGATTAGAAGAAGAAGTAGGCGTTGGATTTTCTTGGCCGATTTTAACTTTAACTTGTTTCTAAAATATCCGGAATCTTTTAATATTTTGTTACTCATTGTTCACATAAAGCCCCGCTTGCTATATATGCTTGTACCTAGTTTACGCATGCCAGCAAGCTAACATGCAATGCGATGGCACGACAGTTGATTTTGTGAACGTTACGAGCTTGCTAGTGGAGGGAGAGGTCGAGGGGAGGTACGAAAACGAAATTCAAAAGCTTTTATATGTACATATCTACGTCGTGTAAGTAATCGTTTTGTGTGGATTGCATAGTGATGGCCCACGATACTGATGGGGTGTTATTTTTTAAAAAAAAATATACTGGAATTGGTAAGCTTAACTGAATTATTGTGTATTAAAATTTTATTTTCAGTTCATAAGCAAAATAAAACACATACCATTTATAATTAAAATTATTTATTATCCTTCATTATATTTCTAGCATACTAAACGTAATAAGTGTATAATAATAAATAATTGAATAGTAATTTACTTTTGAAATATTTCAGCAATATACATATTAATAACTTGATAATAAGTTTAATTAATTAACTAAACTAGACATGCAAAGTAGGCAAATTTATTGTATTAGTTCCATAGTAAGTGATTTAATGAATCTATTTCTTTGGTTCAACAAATCTCGCCAATGAAACAGAAAAACATTATTTAAATAATAGAAGAAAGGTTAATAATAAAAAACAATACCTATCGGCTTTTCAAATAAGTGACCATAATCTCTTATTTTACAATCTTTGGCGATCTTTAACAATATACGAGAATAAATATTTCAAATAGCCTAGCTATTAAATGCAATGAAGAATATTACTTTGTTTTTATCCATAATATATCATTCAAGACATAAAAACAATCATGTCATATTATTTTAAAACATTTAACTAACTTCGTACGATTTAGAAGATTACATAAAAATCGATATATTTTCAAGAAAAGCTGCGTTTACTTCAAAATAACTTTCATATTCCAAAATCGTATCATTCCAACTTTGAGCACAGCTTTTAAAATTACTGTTTAAGTGTTTACTGTACGACTTTCATAATATAATTTACTTTCATAAAAGCGTATAATAAATCTGGTCTGTTATATAATGTCTGTTTGTTTAAACATCTTATTATCTAAGAGGAGAAAGCTGTCGCAACTATTCGTATGCTCGCTAATTTATTATCAACTAAAGCCAAACGAACATATATTGGTGCTGTGCTCATAGCTGGAAATGAAATTCATCAAACTTTATTAGAAGATGGTAAGTTCTTGCTACACAACGGTCCATGTCCTTATGAATTAACGTAAACAATTAGACATACATTATCTTCTTAACTATGTTTGACCTAGAATACATATTTTGATATTGATAATAATTTAATTAAATTTAAAAAGTTGTCTTGTTATCTTTATCAACATGTAAAAACACTAAACAACTTTACATTTTAATAAAAATATGATTCTTGTGGTTCATTCATTATTTAAATGTATCTACAGAAACATAAGACAATTGTATTTGCAAAACAATTACACATATGTCGGTAGTATCTAATTATACAATAAATTCTACTAGATGAAACAATTTTTTTTGGCGATTTTAAAAATTTCATGGTCAAGAGTCCACATGAAGGAAAGATTTTTATTACGTTTCACTTACGTAGGTAACTAATCAACACACCTGTGTTTCACAAATATTAATTTGAAAAATTCTTTTACGTGTAAAATACATTGATTTTCAATGTTTATAATTACTTATCACTTAATATTTATTTCATAATTTAGTTAATGATAAAATAAAAACGGGAGTACAATGTTGATACGTAGAATAGGTTCAATGGACGAACGATACAAGCGTATATCACAGATGCCTCGGCATCCCTTTGCTAAGCTAAATCTGAACAGCTAAACTGCCCTAAAACTGCTAACGAACCAAATCTGGTGGATCTTCGGACTTTTGTTTGACAAGTCGTTTGAGATTCTACTAATCGTAATCTTAGTTGATCAGGTACAGTTAATTTTAGTATCCACATCTTTTCGCAGAAAAAGTGTTACAAGTAATAGTGGTAGAGCCCACAATAATTTCTTTTGCACGAATTGGCCAGTTCGACCGGTGAAATGCCACGACCACATAGATTGACGACAAGTGTGAAATGGAAGTCATATCGCGTTTCGTCTGATGAGTACTGTACGAATGCCTAATTATAGTCCTCTTCCCCTTCCCATCCTTTACTTATAAGGAAGGAATGGGAAGAGGAGGTGACTGGCAGAGGATTTTCTGCGCCTTTCCTCCTCTCCCGATTAAAGGTAGGTGTCGCATCAGCATTTGCAGATGTCTATGGGCAGCGGTCGCTCATTAGCCACCTTTCACTATAGGAAATTAGATATTTATTTTGTACAGTTACTGATTTTGCGACAATGCGTTCAAACATGCTCCGATCTACTAAGGTTTCGATTGATAATCGTTTTACCGAATTCGATTTTACAGTTTAACGAAAAGCGATCTTGGTATGAATAAACCTAGGCAGAACGGCACGGGATTTACTTTAAACTATTCAATATAAGTTATCCAGAACAATGTATAGAGTCTTACTGTATAATTCTGCGTTTTAACTTTCAACCTAAGTTGCCCTTATTTACATTTTTACTGGTAACAATTAACAATGAAACGAAAGAACGGACATAACTTTTAATCCGCATCTTATATATGTAGAGAATTTCATGAAACGGTGACATGGTATTGTGATAATTACTCGTAGATTTTAGATCAACTGGTTACTTTGATATGAGGAAACCAAGCAACTAGCACAGTGTTATAAAAACTTGTAATTGTCAATGATTATGATTTCCACTTAGCAATATAACAGTGACACCCTGTCATCCGTCCGAGCGGCCCCGGGACAAAAGGCTAGTAAGCTCCTAAATTAGATATGATGTCAAAAATGTCCAAACATTTCTGATAACAATGAAAATTAGGTTGCACGTATTGTGTTGCTTCCTTATCAACATTATAGAATACATAGTGGTGATGTATTTTCCATAAAAAGTAACACAAATTGCTATTTTTATAATGTATGGAAAGTATCTAATTTTGTTAGTAAAAGCTTACTCGATACATAGAATAAAGGTTTATTACAGAAGTGTAGGACTTGGCGCAGATGTCGCGGTGAATAACTTCTTACTAATAACGTTACAAATAGCCACATTTTTTTATTGTTTATAACCGATTAAAATATTACTTCTGGCAACTCTGGCAAAGAGTTAAACCAATGACAGTGGAGAATTATTATTTCATTTTCGTTTCATAATTACGTACCAATAATTAATGTTTATACTTTTACAACGAGTTTGATATTGCACGAAAGAGTACAAAGAATTTTTTTTAAGAAAATCCGTTTAAAATGTTTTCAATTTCGGCTTAGACTTTCACCTAATTTGTATCTAAAGGTAAATATCATAAGCAATTAATACGCCCTATGCAGTGTACCGTTTTTCGAATTTAAATATTTTGTCGGACGGCGTGATTTTTTTAACTCAATAAGTAACAATACATTGCCATCATAAAGCGACATTGTCCCGTTGAAATGTCAGTTGACCTACCAAATTCTTCTCTATTTACACGACAATACCCTTAATTTCATTCTATAATTATTTTATTTAAAATTTTATAAATATGATAGAAGTAATGAATTCCAATTACACTACTTTTGTGTTAAATTCATTTTTATTATGTGTTTTTTTAGTTTTAGTTAGTACAAATTGTTAACTTAAGAAATGGCAACACCAATTTCCTTCATATTATCCAGTACAAATATCGTTCGCTTAAGTTTTTTTTTAATTTCATGGCGGGAATAAGAATAAGTGTATTTTAAATATTTCCCAGTGTTTGATACTTTTATATTTGTTTAGAATTATTACATAGTTTTAAAAATGTTAAGTTTACAGATCAATTTACATTACTCCCTTGTTCTTGTCAATGAGTCCAATATACTCAAATGTTCGTCTTTCTTCTACTTCAAATCATTCTAAATTAATTAATTTATAAAAAAACAAGTGTTTGCGAAGGATTAAGCATGAAACAATATTCTGGATAACTTATGAAACAAAACTTCATTACACTAAAATTGATAGTAAATGTTATAAAGCGTTTAGTTTGAAGTAACAGTGTAAGTACAGTAGTCAGTAGCATTAGATTTAATAAAAATACAAAAGTAGTTTTAGCAAATACTCTAAATTAGAATAAGATCTAAGATTGTGTTAATACGTAAAGTATGTATAGTATTAAGTGGATAATCGTGTGCTTGAAGCTAAACTATGCTAAGCGATAGGAAAAATAAATAACAGAAGGAGATATGACTAGATAATTTTGTTTCATTACTAGGATCTACATAAAAGCACTATGCGCATCTCCCCATATCTTTATAATATAAATAGATATATAATCGTATGAATAATTATTTCGAATCCTTATATTTGTTTCTTCTCCCGATTAAGATATTGGCATTCAACTTACTAACTAGAAACGAACGGTGGTCGGATGCGTTTTTTGTTTTTTATATCGTACGACACGTAACAACACGACATATCTCTTCACGTACGAAACTAATCGATGCTCGTTCGACTCGCGGCTCCCTTTGCACCGATCGGTGCTTAATTTACCTACTTTCCTAAATAACCATACTCCGATTTTAATCCCAACACAAACTTTTCAAACATTCTCGTGTGCAATATGTAATTCCATAACTACGCAAGCGTCGCGACGAGATCAAATAGCAGGAATATAAAAATATTCGAAGAAAAAAAAAGTTTCAATTTGATTTTAGACTAAAATTTCGAGTGGCAGCTAAAATTGCTAATAACGATTTGGATGACTTTATTTATACCCCTCAATCATTCAATTTACATTTTGCAGACATTCATGTTTTAAAAATTAAATAAGAAATCATAAATTAGGTAGTGAACAGTTGGTTAAAACAAAGAAGCCAAGCAGAATTATCCTTGTTGCGAGTGAGATGAAGATGAGGGATTCGGTTACGCTACGATAGTTACGAGAGAGTATAAAAATTCGCGACAGACTACAGTGGACCCGAGAGTGATGCGGGGTGGCCGATGCACTATCAAATGAGTCCCGACACTCGGCCCCTGAATGCAAGAACTGCCGAGATGCAATCGCTGTTATTTTCGCGATAACAGTCAGAGGACAAGAGTCGGAATCGGAGAGATCGGCAAAATCTGCCGACATGAAAACATTTAGATACATTTAAATAATTGCAAAGCATACCCTGTATCCTAGAATCACTTTATGGGCGATCGTTTTATACATTCAGAAGGACTCATTTAATCTATTACAAACGTCTGCGTTGCCGCAATATATCTTTAGGGAATTTAATTTTAATCAGTATAAAGATATAAGTACAATATCATTAACAGCCCGCGAAAGCATCGCCTCACGGCTGTGGTTCGCGGGCGCATTATTCCTACATTACCCACGAGGTGATATTATCGATAGTCGATATATACTTAGTATACGTGTTCCGGTTTGGCATCGATTTACTATGTAACCTAAATGTGCGCGGCGCGAGTGCGGTGGAGCGCACCCGACGCCGGCGCCGCTCCGCTGCCTGCTCTACCACGCTGCACGAGTCGAGTCCGACACGACCGCCTTGCGCGCAACACAACTGGCTCGCGGTCGTCCCGCGAGTCGGCCTTCCACTCCTAACATATCCTCACATTATCTTCTAACAACGCTACCCTCTACACGCAACGGACCGCCCGGCTACGTTATGCGATAATATTTCCCTATCTACAAGGCCGTCTCGTCACGTGTAAAGAATCCCCGCATTGTTGAATGCGGGCCCAACAGTCGTTTTACTCAACGAGACCACGTCGACGAATAATCTAAAATGGTAACAAAACACGATTTATAAATAAAAGATCATAAATTGAAACGATGCTAAAACATTTTAAAAAGCTTAACAATATATTGCACGATAGTGAGAATTAGAGAAAAAAGAACTAGAATAGAATAGAATTTAATTAACGATATCGCACATTGCTCGCGATGAGTTTTTATGCGTAGGACTTATTCGTAAATCATAATAGCCTAAAACTAGAATACTATATCAATATAATATAATTATTTGTGTAAATATAAAGTTCTATGTCTTGTGGTGAGTGTAATATTTGACTAGAGGCGAACGGCGGCCGTGCGATCACTACCGCACGCGGTTTCTATCCTCCTAGTACCCCCATACCCACTCCCCCTCCCCTTCCCAACCACACACAGAAATTACCATCAGTGGCAGGAAAACTACCAATAGTTAAAGTTTAAAAATAGCTGTTATTCGTTGGGTAAATTATCATCTAACCTTCAAGTTTACGGGACATAAAATAATTTGCTTGTATTTAGCGCAGATAATTTTTCATAAAATGTACCTATCTAATTGAATTCTGTGTGAGGTTAGCGTTAACTCTGAGCTCACTACCTTTAATAATATTTACATATGAATTTTGCATCGTTCATTTAAGTTTAGCGCAGTGTTGCTATTATTTTAATATAATTTGCTAACCATTAAAATGCTAATAATAAGCTTAAATACATATATAAATGTTATTTCAAGTTTTATAATACAAATGTACTATATCAATGCAAGTATTATGTAACGCCAATAGAGTAAGCATTACAAAAAACGGACGGAAATGTATGGTATAATAAATGTTTGAATAATTCATATGTAAGCGGAATAAACTATTTATCTTTTCAGTTAGAATACAGTAATAGTTTGTGCGCCTGACAAAGTCAGTCAAATGAATGATTAGCAAATGAATATATTGTTTAATAAGAGGAGAGCATAGGCATCGAGTATGTCGAATGTTTTACCAAAGTCCTGAGGATAGTGGACTCAGAGTTGTTACTGTATTTTTATAAATAGCGTACATCTATATTTTTCAAGCAATTATCAATATGGATTAGTTTGAAGAAATTCTTAATTTGATATCATATAATTACAGGATAACGAAGACATTGTATATTTGGATTATTTTTAACGCTTCTTATAAAAATACTAAGCAACAGCTTACAGTGTTGCCAATATAACGCCGTTCGGCGCGAAATGGATTTAATTTGGCGCGAAAACGGCAGTTGTTATTTGGCAGTGACATAAGCTGTTGCACTCTCCTACGTCACCCACCGGGGCAGGAACCCGCCAGCGCGCACGCTTTAACATCTAAGGTATCTCAGTATTATTTAAAATTTATATTGGTACATTTTGATTATGAATCTATCATTGTCTGTAGAAATTACGCTAGTTTTTTTTTGCATTATGATCGCTCGCGCAC